TGATCTTACCGGATCACCACCAACCATGTGAATGAAGAAATGACTGCATTGCCTCAATGGCGCGCTTCTTACTAGTACTATACTAGTACTTAAGGTGGTACTTTCAGCCCAACCGACGTCATCGCATGTGCTGCAACTCAAAAGAACTACTTAAAGAATATAGAAAGCTTACCTTCCCCGATCACTATCCTCGCTGCTTTCACTCGCCTGTACTCTTCTTTCTACAGCATAATTTTACTGTTTCTTCCTCCCGTACTCAATACCTACGACTGTTGATTAGTTACTCATCACTATGCCTGTCATCCCCTCAGGTTCTGATTTCCCACCCCAACAAGGCAACAGCGACAACAACGCTCCAAACCAAGAGCAGAGGAACTCCGATCAGGGAACTCAGAAAGCCACCATGCTTGATCACTTGTCCAAGGGTCCTCAAATCCCCGACAGTAAGTCAAGCGTTGTGCTTTTATCCCCACAACCCCTCCACATTATGGCGGTTCACTAAATTGGTATATAGGCATGCCACCCAAAGTCCCCAGGGAAGAGATCGAGGCACGCATGAAGGAACTGAATAAGTAAGGGAACAAATCCTACAATATTAGTTGGAGCGTATGGTCGCTGTACTTTTATGAAGCAATGTTAAATCAATGATGTTATGCCTGTGCTCCGGTTTTCATAACTTGTACTAGTAATCGCCCGAATATAAACGGCTAAGATTTGGTACTATTGTTCCAATACACATTCTTGGAGATTTCATGATTTCAACACCACATTTACTGGCATACATATTTGGATAATAATGATAAAACTGCCTGTTTCCTGCACAAAGAATCGCTCTCCGTAAATTGTGCCACGCAGTAGTGGTTGCTGCTGGTGCTCCAAAAAGCGTCATTACATCATACCCCACGTGATCACGCGCTCGCTTTGGTCGCTCTCATCGCGAAGGAAGATGACTTCCTCGCGTCAAGAGGCTCCTCATGCCACCTGAACGCCCCAATGTACCGGTGAAGCTGTCCTTGCCCTTGGTGAGTACTTTACGGTTCTACATTGTGTGCTCAACGCAAGACATCTATGGGATATCTGACAGAATCAATTCCAGCAATACCAGCAGGACATCTTCACCGAACTGCGCTCGGAGGATGAGTTGGTGATCCTTGCTCGGGGCCTTGGCCTCTTACGCCTAGTGACGAATCTGCTACATTTTTATGATGCTGCAGGGAACAATTTGGTGCTTGTTGTTGGCGCAGATGACCGCGAAAATGAATGGATTGGAGAAGGTACGTCGCTGCGACTCGGGCAGTTTACTGTTGGGTTATGTTGAAGCACAATAATGCTGATCTCTGTCAGCATTGGCTGAGCACTATGCTATCAGCAAAACCCCTCTTGCCAGGGGCCTCAAGGTGATCAATACGGACAGGGCCACGGTTCCGATGCGGTATGTCCTCATGCATGATTCATGACCTTCTATGCTAATGCCAGTCCAGCGAGAAGATCTACTCCGAAGGTGGTATCCTGAGTGTAACATCCAGGATTCTAATAGTTGACTTTCTGTCGAGTTAGTGACACCCCTACTGCTGTTTTGTGACGGCCGACCCTCCTAACCCGCTGTCTAGAGCTGCTCGACCCTGAGAAGGTCACTGGCATGGTCGTGCTTCATGCTGATAAGTAAGCAACCATATCGGTGCTCCTAGAGAGGACATACTAAGAACAGACAGGATTGTGGCTACGTCTATTGAAGCCTTCATTATCCGGGCATATCGAGAACACAACAAACGTGGATTCCTAAAGGCCTTCTCCGACTCCCCGGAACCATTCACGACCGGATTTGCCCCCTTGACGAATTCCCTGCGCAACCTCTTCCTTCGCAAGACCTCGCTATGGCCACGCTTCCATGTCACCGTTGCGGAGGCTCTTGAGGGCCATCGAAAAGCGGAGGTGATCGAACTTGAAGTCCCGATGAGTGATAAGATGCGCGAGATACAGAACGCCGTCCTTGAGTGCGTGGAGATTTGTATAGGAGAGCTAAAGAAAGCAAACACGGGACTTGACATGGCAGACTGGACCCTCGACAGTGCTTTACATAGGTCTTTTGATATTGCCATTAGGCGCCAACTGGATCCCATATGGCACCGTGTGAGCTTCCGGACCAGACAGATCGTCAGTGACTTATCAGACCTTCGGGCAATTCTCCAGTGCGACCACCCATCTCTATGCTGTGCTTCATGAGTTGACATAATCTTAGTGCTTTGCTCACCTATGACGCCGTCTCATTCCTCAAATATCTTGATACGATTGTTACAGCACATACCCCGCCTCCTGGGTCCACGAAACATAGCTATTCTCCATGGCTGTTCCTCGACGCAGCCGATGTGCTTTTTCAGACCGCGAGATCAAGAGTATATCAGGGGCGAATTAGCAACGATGTAGTTCGCTCATCGTCCACATCTCTACCTACCACACTCCAGCCCGTTCTGGAAGAACAGCCAAAATGGGAAGTCGTAGCGGAGGTCCTGCAAGAAATCGAAACGGACGCATATCTCAATCCAGTCAATGTGGACGAGTCCAACAGTACTGTCTTGATCATGTGCAGTGACCAACGGACCTGTCGGCAACTTCGCGAGTACATGGGCACGATGCATGCCAACGTGAGTAGCAAGAAGCAGGAAACAAGGGATACATTGGATCCAGGTGATGCCATCCACGAGAAGAAGGGCTCCGCTGAAGTCATGATGCGCCGAAGGCTGCGGGATTATATGGACTGGAAGTTATCCTTGTCTAATGTTAGCAAGAACTTTTCGTCAAACCCCGCGGGTGACGGTTCTCAGTCGCTTGCGGTGAATTCACCTGGTTCTTTGAATCAAGGAAGAGCCCCAATGAACAAGCGGCGCCGAGTCCGAGGAGGAGGCACTCCATCCGTCCCAGCACGCGCGCCCAACAGCGGTATCCAAGTAGATATTGAACCTCCGGCCCAAGTGTCGGCACTCCTAGATGAAATTCAGCCTACTGAGGTAGAAGAGACCCAAAAAGAGGAGGTTATCGTCGATGATTTGGAAGATATGGACGATTACTACGAATTGTACGATATGGATGACTTGGTTATCATACACCCTTACGACGGTGATATGGATGAGCATATTCTGGAAGAGGTTCGGCCTCGGTACATCATCATGTACGAGCCAGACCCTGCATTCATTCGACGAGTCGAGGTCTACCGCAGCTCCCATGTTGGGAGGGACGTACGCGTTTATTTCATCTACTACGGGGGATCTGTTGAAGAACAGCGCTACTTGAGCGCCGTACGGCGAGAGAAAGACTCGTTCACAAAGCTCATCAAAGAGAAAAGCGTAAGACTCCTTTCCTTTGCTTCCCTCCTTCCACTAATCCGAGCCAACAGAACATGGCCGTCACCATCACGCATGACAAGAGTCAAGTAGACCCTCAAGAACAGTTCCTTCGCACCGTGAACACCCGTATCGCAGGAGGCGGCCGACTAGCCGCAACAGCATCACCACCCCGAGTCGTGATAGATGTACGCGAGTTCAGAAGCGCCCTTCCATCCCTCCTACATGGCAACAACATGATCGTCGTCCCCTGCCAACTCACAGTGGGCGACTACATCCTCACGCCCGACATCTGCGTAGAACGCAAATCAGTCCGCGACCTGATATCCTCTTTACGGAACGGCCGTCTCTACAACCAAGCAGAAACCATGCTCCAACACTACAAGAGCCCCCTTCTTCTTATCGAATTCGATGAAAACAAATCCTTCACCTTCGATGCCTTCGCCTCCGCAACCACCCCCGGCACAACCTTCCTCACCGACTTCGGTTTCTCCTCCTCCGGCACAAGCACCCTATCCGCAAACAGCTCCCTCGTCAACCCATCTAGCCCCAAATCCGCACAGCACTTACTCGTTCTCCTAACCCTGACCTTCCCCCGGCTCAAGATCATCTGGTCTTCTTCCCCCTACCAAACAGCTGAGATCTTCGCCGAGCTGAAGAACAACAATCCCGAGCCGGATCCGATTCGGGCTGTTCAGACCGGGCTAGACATGGATATTGCGGCGTCGTCGCACTCGGGCGATATTATGGCTGCGGCGGGGATCGAGCATCGGGTCTTTAATCTTTTGCCACAGGATATGCTGCGGGCGGTTCCGGGCGTGAATCCTAATGTCCTTGAGCGGTTGATTGTGGAGACGGAGAATATTCATGAGGTTGCGAATATGAGCGTGGAGCAGTTGGATCCGTTGGTTGGGATAGAAACGGCTCGGAAGATAGTGGGGTTCTTTCGTAAAAGTGTGTTTGAGAGTTGAGATGATGGTTGTATATATGTTCGATGTTGTTGAATACTACAAGAAGCTAGAGATACGAAGCTGCTCAATTCTACAAAGGAGTATAGGTTGGTTGTATATTCATATTCGTGGCCCTTTCATAAATCTATCATCCAGTTTTGTCGAAAACGAAGAAGCGTAATGAAAAGGAATACCGAATAAAAAACAGGGAGCAAACACAAGAATCGCTCACACGCCAGACCGTGCAGCCTTCTCGTACGCAGTAAGCCATCCTTCTGTAGCTAACCCGAGAACGCCCTCATGATGGAACACGAATATGTCCAGAAAACCGATGATCCAGCATCATAAAGAAAATTCCCCGGCATAACCCCTGTTACTGATCCATATCCCGGATTACACGGAGCCGCACCGGGCGCAGCAAAGGCAGAACGCGCCTATGCGGAGCCGGGAGGTGCTGCCGCCCTGATTCCTTTACTCGAGATACCTTCACGGGAAAATCTCGACTAGCACACACACACACAGCATGCACTAGCCGTCCGATTTCTTTCCGTTCAAAGCGAGTAACAGCTTTTAATTCGGAAGAATACTCGGGGGAGATTCTTCCCATGAAGGTTTTTTGAAGAAAACAAAGAGTTTTGACGAGTCGAGAAAAAAAAGAACCGAACCCAGTCGCTCCGGCAGGGATATGAGATCGTGCCCCTGAAAGGGACATTTAGAGCTCGTCGACATCGATCTCCTTCTCGTCTTCGCTCTCGCGGTCCTCGTCGAACTCGACGTTGTCCTCGAAGCCCTCGTGGCCGTAGGTGTCGGTCTCGTTGATCTTGGCGTGTTCGGGCAACTCGCCGTAGGCCTTGAGACTTCTGGCCTCATCGGCGGTGTACTTCATGATGACGTCGCCCTTTTCGTCTTGGTAGTCACGCAGCGAGAGAAGGATAATGTCACCCTGGTTGATCCAGACCTTCTTGCGGAGCTTGCCACGGATGTGAGCGAGACGCTTCTCGCCATCGAAGCAAAGGGCCTCGAGACGGCCGTTACCAAGCATCTTCACGACCTGCGCATACTCCTGGCCTTCTTCCTTGAAGACAAGCTCACGCTTCTCGTTGTCGTTCTCGTTCTTTCCACGACGACGGTTCTTACCGCCCTGTTTGGTTAAGAAAACGTTAGCAAAAACTGTCCAAGACATGTGTATAGACGTGTGGCGCAGTTTCGCTTCGTTCTCCGATGCTCTCTAATATGGCAGCCTCTGTGCCTCCCTTATCCCACATCTTCCTGGCTGGAAATGTGTCGTTGAGGTGGGACATGGTGGCATGAGGTGGGCACCAGAGTCAAGCGTAAAACAAAGCAAAAATCTGTAAGGCGGGGTACCCGGGTGGGATGCAGCACGAACTCACCTTTCCCTTGTTCTTGGGCATATTGGGATCTCGCTAACCGCGGTGGTCTTTCACTCGATGCGATAGGAGATGTCCGGGTAAGGGGAGATTTAAATAGATGTCCCTGAGGACCAGAAGAGTGGAAGTGGGGGGAAAGACGAGGAAGGCGGAGGCAAGCGAGAGGCCGGCGCTTCATGTTTTGCGAGGCTTTTCGTTGGCTTATGTCATCCATGGTGGGTGGGTGGCGTGGCGGCCTGATCTACGCCTGAGGCTTGCCACAAGGGGCTCGCCAATCATTGTCGTCATAAGGCCACCGCCTGGTGGCAGAATCAGGGGACCGCCGAAGCATCCCCGAATGCTGGGATAACTTTTGGCTCGCTAGAGAATTGAGTGAGCCCTTTCTTGGTCCGTATTCCACTTCTTGTGAATTGTTTATCAGTTCCATTGCTTACAATATGTTGAGATAGATACATATCGCTCGCTGCTGGAAGAGCTGGCCTTTTTCTGTTCCGATCCGGCGATAGGCGCATCACACTACTTAGTGCTAATATACCAAGCATCCAGCTAGCGTCCTACCATCTATTCTATCATTGTTGTACTATATACGGAGTCAATTGACTTGCCTCCGAGGCCTCCAACACACATACATCATGAAGACCCTAAGGAGTCACAAATCGTTTATAATGCGATACTTCCCAAACTACAAACCGTCCCATGTCGCCTCCCGGTACTTAAACGCAGATGTCCACCCTCTCCAGCCCAAAATCACACACATGTATGCCACCCGCGACAAAAGCACACTCTGGTGGATGGTAAATCCATCGCATCTGATGTCCGTGAGGATGAAGCGTGTGGTTCGGTCGTGGTGTAGCCGACGAGCCCGGATGGCATTCCGGCTAGCGTTGAAAGACCATGGGTTTGATGCGGACGGTCGAAAAGCAGGGCAGGAACTGCTAGGTGACCTCAATGGGAAAGGGAGGAATGGAAAGAATCTGAAGGGGCGTGTTGACTTATTGCTTCATGCGGATATTTTGCGGGAGCCTTTCGAGGTATTGCGAAAGGAGATGGATGCTGGAGTGAGTGCTTTGGTAAATCATTTGAAGACGACGAAAGATGTGGCTCCTAAGCCGGCGAAAAAGCAAAAGAAGGCAGTGGATGCTCCTGATGACAAAGGGAATGAGACATCGTTATAGCCTTGGCCAACATTTCCTTCATACTAGTAGGGTGGTTCTGGACACCGGTTCGGGTCCGTCATTGTATATATGTACAACATCAGTGGATGAGCAGACGGGAAATATACTACTTAGCCCCCTTGCGATGTGCCACGCAAGACATGCAGCTATTTCCTGTCATTCATGCATAATATCTCAACAAAGATAAGATGAACAAGAAGGGAGAATGGAGATTTGTTAAATTCCCCATATCCCATTTTCACGGGATAGTTCTCTGGATGGAATGAAGAAGCATCCATGTAGTTATCGCGGGCCAGAGACCACGCGGCCGAGCCTCCTTGGCGCCTGTCGCTACCGGCCGATCTTCATTCAGCCTGAAGAAGACAACAACAACCTCGCTTTCCTCTTGCGATCAACTCTTCCTTCCCTTTCAGGATCCCAGGCCACCTACTCACGATTCGACGTTGCCAGACGTCACGAATTTGTTTTCTCTTTGATGCGCCATCCCTGAAATCCGCTACCTGTTCCCAATATGCTGGTCTCCTTGACAGTCGGCAAGGTAGACGCAGGAGTCGCCGTACTCTTGACCCAGGACAACAGACTGGTGAGTTTAACTCCATACCCACGCACTTACAGCGAGCGATTGACGCACGAGCCTGCTCAATATCCCCTCTAAATAATCCACCCTGCGCTTCGAGTAGCCCTGACACTCAACTAACCCGCCCCAGATCGAATTCCCCTCCGTCCTTCTCCCCAGCAACATCACGTCCGGTAGTATCGTCGACATCACTGTCGCGCGCAACCACGCAGCCGAATCCGCCAGTGCCGCAAACTTCCAGTCGCTCCAAAAACGTATCCTCAATACCTATGGCATCAAGACCCCCACACCCCCGGTTCTCCGTCTCCGCAACGCAACCCAAACTTCCCTCGTCCTGGAATGGGACCCTATTGACCTAGCCACCGCATCCCTGAAGTCACTCTCCCTGTACCGCAATGGCTCCAAAGCCGGGTCCATTCCCCGTCCGCTTGAGACGCGAAGCACCAAAATTAGCGGTCTAGCCATCCACACCGAATACACCTTCCATCTCGTCCTGCGCACCACCGCCGGCACTTACCAGTCGGAGAAGTTGACCTGCCGCACGCACAAGATGACAGATCTCTCCGGTATCACAGTGACTGCGGGCGTCCTTCCCCCACAACAGAAGGATGCTCTTGCAGCTGCGTTGGATCGCATTGGTGGAAAGCTGATCGACTCGGTCCGCATTGATACCACCCACTTTGTCTGTACCGAGGGGAGGGGTCCGCTCTGGGAGAAGGCCGTTGAGATGAACATCCCCGTGGTTGTTCCGGAATGGGTAGATGCTTGCGAGGCTGAGGGCACTATTGTCAGTGTTCGTGGGTATTACCTGAATGCTGATCCCAAGGCAAGACAGCTGGGCCCGATTCACAGCTCTACCCAGCACCAACGAACGGTTTCTACCGCCACCTCGAATCTGGCGCCCCCAGCTGCGCAGGCTCAGACCCCTTCACGGCAGACGGGGCAGGAAGATGAGCAGAACCTTGAGCCCCCGGTTACGCCGTTCCCGGGAGCTGAGATGACCGGCCAGCCCATCGCGGAAGAGAAGGAGGTGGGATCGGACGAGAGCACAGAGTCGCCGCCCCCTCCACCTCCGAAGGATGAAGAGAAGGAGGATGAAACTGCCGAGCAGAATGGCGATCATGAGACACCGCCACCTCCGCCAGAGAAGGACGAGAGCGAGAGCGAGGGTGAGGGCAAGGAAGAGGAAGAGAAGACCGAAGAGGACACGCAAGAGCCAGAAGAGGAAGAGAAAGAGAAGGACGACTCATCAAATGCCAAAGAGCGCAAATCAAAGGAGGGAGGAGAAGGGGACTTTAATGAAGTCCCTCTGTAATGACGTTCCCCCGGTAGTAGACGACCGCTCCTGCTCCTCCCCCTCTTCCTCTTTTCATTTCTTCATCTACGATTCAAGTTGACAAGCGTCATGAGTGTATATCCGATACATTAGCCCTCTTCCCCCACCCCTACCACGACCCTTTATCACACGAGTTCATTTTATTATATTCCTTTCTTCAACACGGGCGGAAAGATGATGTCACAGGGCCGGTGTATGTTACGTTTCTTTCTTATTTTATTATACTCTATTTTATATTGTATCTTCATTGTGCCTATGCCGCTACAACATGTATACTGTCCTTCCCACACTATCCCCTGTCAAGGAAGATATCATAATAGAATTAAGTAGTATTTTGTACAGCAAATACAAGACAAATAAGTAGCACTATGCACAAGTATCATTAATTCCCAATCAATTCAAGCTCTATCATCGCATAAAGTCTAGATGCTAGCTAGATGCATGCAATAAAATAACCCCGAAAAAAAAATGCCCCGAAATGTAATATCTGTACATCGTCGTCGTCCTCTCATTCGCATATAGTACGTTATCCCATCATTCATGGCGTACGTTAACCTCGTAAATAGATGAGGTGAGGTGAGGTGAGGTAAGTCTATCTGCTATAAAGAAATATTTCCCCCCTTTTCTTTTCTTGTTTTTCTTTTTGGTATGTGTTGAAGCACTTAGAAAAAGTGTATTTACCTCGGGCAGAATGATTAACTACCCGAATAACCGGAATGGTTGATGTGTTTATTTGACGTTGCGGACGATGTCGTCGAAAGCCTTCGCGACGTAGGCGACGTTCTTCTGGCTCACTGTTGGAAGGGAAGAGGGTTAGTGGGTGTGCGTGTGGGGATTAAGATTGGGGGGTGGGGTAAGGGGGAAAGCTTACAGCCGCTGATGGAAGCTCTGCCGGATTTGATGAGGTAGACGTGGTACTTCTCCTTCAGGGCTTGGACCTGGGTAGGGGTGAGGCCGGTGTAGGAGAACATGCCGTTCTAGAAGGGTTGTCATGGTTAGTATATGTTTGTGAGACTGGGGAAAGGTGAGGGAGGGATGGGTATGTACCTGTTCAACGATGTGCTTCCAGGTTCCGGGGGTCTCGAGACGGACGAGTTCATCGTACAGAGCAGCGCGCATGGCCTTGATACGGGAGCTCATGACCTTGAGATCATCGTGCCATTGAGTGGTGAGGGCATCGTTGGTCAAGACCTTCTTGACGATGGAGCAACCGCCGGTAGGACCCATGGAGAACTCGCCGCGGATGAAGTGGCAGAGGTTGTTGACGACGAGGTCGCGGAGGTCCTGGGAACCTTCTGCGACGACGTAGTGGAAAGCGCCGACACGCTGGCCGTAGAGACCGAAGTTCTTGGAGAAGGACTGCGCAACGCACATCTCCATATGGGGCTTCTCGTTGAGGAAGTAGCGCACGGCCCAGGCGTCCTCGTCGGCGGATCCGGAGGCGAAACCCTGGTAGGCGGAGTCGAAGAAAGGGAAGATCTTCTTGCGCTCACAGATCTCGGCAATGGCCTTCCATTGCTCCTTGGAGGGGTCGAGACCGGTGGGATTGTGCGCGCAAGCGTGCAGAAGGATCACGTCGCCTTCCTGGGCGTCGGATTCAAGGGTGGACATCATGCCCTCGAAGTCGAAAGAGCGGGTCTCGGGCTTGTAGTAAGGGTAGGTCTTGCGGGGGACGCCGACGAGGTCCCAGATGGTGACGTGGTTGGCCCAGGAGGGGTCGGAGAGCCAGACGGTCTTGGGCTTCATCTTGTGAGCGAGGAAGAGAGCACCTAGGTGGTTGGCGCCAGTGCCGGCGACGGACTGGACGGAGCCAATGCGGGCTTTCAGGGCCTTGTGCTCCTCACACAGGTTCTTGGAGTCGAAGCCGAACATCAGGTCCCGAGCCAGCTCGAGGAACGGGATGTCGCCTTCAATTGCGGTGTATTCGTGGCGGAAGGGGCTGTCTTCGGCGAGCAATTGCTGCTCGGCCTTGCGGACGGAGGGCAATGGCCAGGGCTTGCCATCGTCAGTGCGGTAGACACCGACACCGAGACTGACTTTGTCGGGGAAAGTGTCGTTGGCGTATTCGCGGTTGAGGGCGAAGATCTCGTCCGCCGGTAGCGGAGTCAGGTTGAGGACAGTCATGGTGGTGGTGGGAGTGGTGGGAGTGGAATTGGTAGAGTGTTCAGGTGATTGCAGCCAGTAGTTTAGATCTGAGGGAAAGGATCTGAAGAGGTATATAAGGTGGAGGAGGGGCAATCGGTAAGATTTTCCGATAGAGAAGCGGCGGTGCGAAAAGGTGGAGCAAGGGAGGGAAAGATTTCAAAGAGGGTGGAGGGGGGTAATAAGATCTAGTCGCGATGCAACACGAGGAGCGGATATTTACTGAGGGAGGGGGAAAAAAAGGAACGGGTATGCTAAATGCAGTAACGAGGTGGATCAGTGTGAGCAATGAGTCAGGGCGTGGATGAAGAATTGAAGCCGTGAGAATTGGCCGATATCGCCCATCGCGACGCCAGCCGTGCGGGTTGGCGTCACAACTAAATACCCGCTGTTGCTTCAATCCCCCCGATCCCCAAACTGCCTACGTCGATCGAAGAGATTTGCTTTTGTTTCTTGCCACTGACGATGCGGCAAATGCGATGACGGCAAAGTCTGTCTAATTGAAAGGTTCCTGAGGAGGCGCAGTGGTGGGTCGAACCAGACATTGGGGAATGCGACCCTTCCTGCGTTGTGCCTGGAGCAGTAACTGACGGAGGAAGTTGGATATATTATTATTGTCTCTCACTTCCTCGTGTCATCCTCCTTCAACTCCGAGGGGCCGGATTTCGTGTCCCTGCTTCACATTGCTTAGCGCACTCGCAGTTCGTAATTGTTGTCTTGTCTTGCAGGATCCATGTCAGATGAATTGATACTAGCTTTGTCTATGCGAGTCAGCTGCCGGGTGGGATAGACCGTTAGTCGAATTCTACGTAGTCGATGAGACAATGATTAACCACCAATGCTACTCTACTAACCATCTACTAACTACCAAGTACTAGACTATCAATCGCTACTGTCATATTGATTGACGGACAGCGACGGAGCTATAGTAAGTAGACGGCTACACCCGGCTATTGCTCAGAGCGCTGTCGGATCCGAAAGTAACCGAGCGGATATTCCGCGAGAACGATTGAAGCTATCATCAGAAGACCAGGCGTTATAGTGGTCATTCCCTGTTGTCCGACACACAAAGACGAGGATGGCATCAATTGATGCCTGCATTCCACGTGAAATAAGGTTGTACAGACGAGCCACTCCCTGATAACGGATCGAGAGCCGAGCATATGAGGGGTCGTGAGGGGTTGGCTGTCCCTCACTAGAGGACATGGCCAGAGCGACCTCTCCCTGACCATTGCCTTGGATCAACTTGTCTCGTGGATACACTTGAATAAACTGACACCACCATGCCTGCTCTTAATGACGAAAAAACCTTGAAAGAGCTACGACCCCGGGTCCTTCTCCAACCGCTTCATAACAGCATTCCGTCGGAGTTGCTACCTCGGTTCGACCCGGTCTACGTGGAACACTACAACAAGTACAATTCTGGGAGGCTACATACCCATGAGGTTCCTATCGAGGAATTCCGCAAGAACCCCGCCAAGTATGCCATCGTCTACGGTCGTGCTCAAGGCCCTGATATTTTCCGCATCACGGAACAGAAATGTCCTGTGGAAGGAGGCGAGATAACCATTCGTATCTTCGAGCCTGCCCCAAAACTGGATGAGCATGGTAAAGCCAAGAAGAGGGCTGCATATGTCAACTTTCATGGGGGAGGCTGGGTGTTTGGCGATCTCTCAGTTGATCATGACTTCTGCAAGACACTCGTCGATGGCCTGGACGGGCAATTAGTCGCGTTTGATGTCGACTACCGTTTAGCTCCTGAGCACAAGTATCCGATCCCCGTCGACGACTGCTGGGCCGCTTTCAATTGGGTCAGCTACTATTCCCTGTCTACATTGACCGGTATGACCCATGCCAACTGACATCCCATGCAGATCCGCTCCCAGAAAGCAGAGGAGTTCAATGTTGACCCGGATCGAATGGCTGTTGGAGGTTGTTCGGCCGGAGGCCACCTGTCGGCCGTGGTCGCTCATCTCTGCCGTAATGCTGACATTCCGTTGCGTCTGCAGGTGCTGAACGTGCCCGTATGTGATCTACACAGCGGCTACACTCCGGATGGCGACTTCGATCGGGAGAACTGTCCCTATGAATCCTACAGAGAGATGGAGTTCACCGCAGCTCTTCCCGTCGCAAGGATGGCTTATTTCCATCGTCACTTCTTGGGGGTACCCCGACCAGCACGTTCAGAGGAGGTGAGTAGTGCCCGTGTAATTGCTGCAGCCAGAGCTGCACACAACGGCAAAATGCTGATGTGGACTATAGGACTGGAAGATCTCCCCCATGTTTGCGCCTGACTTTTCTGGACTAGCACCTGCGTTGGTCTTCACCGCCGAAATGGACCCTCTGCGGGACGAAGGGGAGGGTTACGCTGCCAAATTGAAAGCTGCCGGTTGTCGAGTGGAGATGATGCGTATGGCAGGAGCTCCCCACACATTTGCCATGTTGGATGGCATCATGGAGAGCGGCCGTATATACATTGAGAAGGTTATTGAAGCGATGAAACGGGAACTGACAGCGTAAATGATCAATTGGTTCGGTTGAAGGGATATCGGAGATGGAGTGCAGTACTAGTACTGACAGACAAGAAGATGGAGATGCGGAGAGACAGCAGGATCATGGTTTATCCGACGAGAATCCTTACCGTATGATACAAATCAGGCCGGGCAGCGAAGGTGTGGCAGACGGGTAACCGGCGTCCTGATCATTACCGGGCCGGGAGATTTCGGCAGGCGGTATCGGAAACAGTTGGGGTGGATTAAATATGCGCGGCTGCTGCTGCTCTTCTTCTTCCCTTCTTTTCTGCGTGGTTTGTTTGCCGTCCCCCAGGTTTTGGGTAGAATTGGAATATCATTAGATCTGTCCCTTTATTCTGTTTATTTTAGAGAGAAAATGTACGACCAACACCCCGCACATATCCACAACAGGATTTGAATTGTGGTCCCCCCAAAATGGCACCATTGGCCTGTCAGCCACACTGACTAACCGCGTGATGATGAATAGAACCAAAAGCCGGTCGTCATGTTGACATCTGCCCACACTTCCCGAGCCGCGGTGCGCTCGATGGCCTCCTTGACACATGCTGCATCTCGAGCTTCGGCTTCCCCCGCAGTTGCCCGCACTGCCGTGGCTTTCACCCCCGCCTCGTTCAGTTGCCGTCGTCTTCTGAGCTCCAATAGCCGACCTGTGCAACAATTCCCCCGTCTCCAGTCCTTGACTTCTACCTCCAGCAAGAGAGCTTTCGGTACCACCGTCAAGATGGTATGCTCTACCCTTTCTATTGATTCGCATCTATCGTGCGGATGAACTTCGCTATGGGGAACTGTTCCCAGTGGGAGACGTTGCTAATCGGTTATTGTTTTAGTCTTCGGCTACCCGCATTGAGACTGATGCCTTCGGTGAGATCGAGGTATGTGCTACACTCATAAACGCGATGCGCATAGACTGGAAATGCTAACGGATCTCTTTTCTAGGTCCCCGCGGACAAGTACTGGGGTGCTCAGACCCAGCGGTAAGATCCCGACCTCAACAATCGCTGCCATATTGCAAACTGGATATGCGACCGGCAGAGGAGTGAGCAGACGCTGACCGGTGCGACAATAGCTCCCTGGGCAACTTCGACATCAACCAGCCCCAGGACCGCATGCCCGAGCCCGTTGTCAAGGCTTTCGGTATCCTCAAGGGTGCTGCTGCTGAAGTGAACATGAAGTTCGGCCTCGGTAAGCCGCTATCGATCAAGGCAGCACAGCTTCCGCGAAGTTAACATTTGGAAAATAGACCCCAAGGTCGGTGAGGCCATCAAGCAGGCTGCCGCTGAGGTTGCGGAGGGCAAGCTGATGGACCACTTCCCTCTCGTCGTCTGGCAGACCGGTTCCGGTACCCAGTCCAACATGAACTCCAACGAGGTCATCTCCAACCGCGCCATCGAGATCCTGGGCGGCGAGAAGGGCTCCAAGAAGCCCGTCCACCCCAACGACCACGTCAACATGTCCGCCTCCTCCAACGACTCCTTCCCGACCGCCATGCACATTGCTGCCGTTCTGGAGCTGGAGAACACCCTCCTGCCTTCCCTGAGGAGCCTGCGCAATGCTCTCCAGGTCAAGGTTGAGAAGTTCGACAAAATCATCAAGATCGGTCGTACTCACCTGCAGGACGCCACCCCTCTCACCCTCGGCCAGGAGTTCTCCGGCTACGTCGCTCAGCTCGACCGCAACATTGAGCGTGTCGAGACCAGCATCCCCCACCTCCGCTACTTGGCTCAGGGTGGTACCGCCGTCGGTACCGGTCTGAACACCTTCAAGGGCTTCGACGAGGCTATTGCTGCTGAGGTCACCAAGTTGACCGGCACCGAGTTCAAGACTGCCCCCAACAAGTTCGAGGTTCTGGCCGCCCACGACTCGATTGTCGAGGCTTCCGGTGCCCTGAACACCCTGGCCTGCTCTCTGTTCAAGATTGCCCAGGATATCCGTTACCTTGGATCCGGTCCCCGCTGCGGTCTCGGTGAACTCGTCCTCCCCGAGAACGAGCCCGGTTCTTCCATCATGCCCGGCAAGGTCAACCCCACTCAGTGCGAGTCCCTTACCATGGTCTGCTCCCAGGTCATGGGTAACCACGTCGCTGCCACCGTCGGTGGCATGAACGGTCAGTTCGAGCTCAACGTGTTCAAGCCCCTCATGATCCGCAACCTGCTGCACAGCGTGCGCATCCTGGCCGATGGTATGACCAGCTTCGAGAAGAACCTGGTGCACGGTCTGGAGGCCAACGAGCCCCGCATCAACTCTCTCCTCCACGAGAGGTATGTATTTCCTTCCAAAATTAGATACGTGTAAAGAAGACAGCTAACAGTGGTGTAGTCTGATGCTGGTCACCTGCCTCAACCCCGTCATTGGCTACGACATGGCCTCCAAGGTCGCCAAGAACGCCCACAAGAAGGGCCTCACTCTGAAGCAGAGTGCTATGGAGCTGAAGGCTCTGAGCGAGGAGGACTTTGACAAGCACGTCCGCCCCGAGCTGATGCTGAGCCCCAAGGAGAAGAAATAGATGTATAGCAGGAGGAGAGATGTTTTGGCTTAGCTTGGAGGAGTCATCTAGCGAAGACTAGCTTTTGCCTAGGAGATATTTGTATACTCAGGAATACTACTGTACTATTCTCATGTTCAACTTGTTACTTGGATAGATCTCTTCGCTGTACGGAGTATAGATATTTTTATCGGGCTGATGACGGGGCTGACCCCGGGGTGTGCTATTTTTGGACCACCAAAGCGGTCCCGCCCACCGATCGAATAGTTCAAGATGCACGGATAGCAACGACTGGCGGTGGATTGCTGAAAACCGGTCAAGTGGTGTTTAAATTAGGAACACTAACAATGTAGTAAAGTTGCTGCGCCATCAGGGTTTTGAAGGTAGATCAGCTTGGCCAATACAATCGGAAAGAACCGTAAGTAGTAAGTAGTAAGTAATCAGGGGCGGATTTCCAAAGTGTTTGGTGTTTCAGACAAACCGTGGGCCCTTTCTTACTGCTTGTTTATTACCTCCCGCCTGGCCCTTTCTTTTTCATCACCAAACTGACCGACTGACTCGACTGACCTGTCTTTTTTTTTCTCCTCTCTCATCCCTTTCCCCTTTCAAATACTCACCTTCGTTGGAAACCATCCGTCTCTCGTTCAGACACATTCGCTGAAAAAAATCCTTCATTCCAGCGTTTCAACAATCCACCTCCGTTTTCACCACTCACTCAATTGAACCCCGCCACTACCCAGGGGCCCTCCCTTAACCAAACCACCAAACAAACAAACCTCTTCACCCTCAAAAACCTCTTCTTCTTTCTTTCTAATAAAAAAGTCCAAGACGGACAAATAACCCAACCACCGCCAAAATGACCAACACCTCCACCCTCACCCAACCCCCCGCCGAATCCTCCAAGGACGACGCCCCCCTCTTCCCCACGACCCTCATCTCCCCCTCCGTGGCCGCCGAACTGCCCGAAGGCTACAAGATCCGCCCCGTCCGTCGCTCCGACTACAGCCGCGGCTACTTGGATGTGCTGCGCGTGCTGACAACCGTCGGCACCATCACCGAGGAGCAGTGGAACAAGCGCTACGACTGGATCTCATCGCGCAATGACGAATACTACCTGCTTGTTATCTGTGATGGGGAGGACCGGATCGTGGGTACGGGCAGCTTGATTGTTGAGCGCAAGTTCATTCATGAGTTGGGTCTTGTTGGCCATATCGAGGATATTGCCGTCGATAAGAGTCAGCAGGGTAAGAAGCTGGGGTTGAGGATTATTCAGGCGTTGGATTATGTTGCTGCGCAGGTGGGGTGCTATAAGGTATGTTCATCTTTTTTTCTATAGTATATTCTGAGGCGTGGTGACGATGCTAATGGTGTGTGTGCGTGCAGAGTATTCTCGATTGCTCCGAGGCGAATGAGGGTTTCTATCTCAAGTGTGGGTTTAAGCGTGCTGGATTGGAGATGGCTCATTATTATTAGGTGCTGGTAATGCATAATTGAAGATATCCCCGGGCTGTTGTTTCGGGGTTATTGATTGTCATCATGTTCGGGCGTTGTTGTCGTTGTTGTTGTATACTACATATAGATAGATGTCTAGATACGGGTTAGGTCGGGACTTATTGTTCGATGGTTTCATGGTTGTTGGTTTATGTTATGCATTATATATTTGCAGGATGACTGCAGGTATTCAGTCTGTTATTATCTGGCATTCATTCATCATCATTAGAGAGATCTAGTACTATCTCTATAGAAGTAGTAGTATGAACCCTCAGACCTTATGCTGGTGAGAAATAGCTACATGAAGAAGGTTAAGTGAACATTACAGTATAGGTACATTTAGGCCATTGGTAGTGAGCTACTCAAAATAAGTAAACAAACTCATATGCAATTGATAGGTTGTCATGGTACTGTTCTCACTCACATAAGAATAACATATGCCATGCATACAACTTTATCCCTTGCCGCATTTGTGCCTGAGGCATGAATAATAGTATTCATGAAGAATGGTACCGGAAACGGTTAGTCTAGGTCTGAGCCCTATGGATTTACATATAGGTAGTATGGTGATTCACGTGATAGGGGCCTGGGGTATCCGATTTAATGAAGGATGATCTTGAAGGATCGATGAGATCATGCATGTTGCGCATGAGCCTTTTTTACTACAGGATATGATTTTACTAGTGGTATACGAAGTACTTAGGGAAGAATGAAAGTTATCATATCACATCCATTTCCATATTCCTTTCCTGGGTAAAGTAATGAGTTTGAAGACATACCACTTGGGGGAGAGAGAAGAAAACGGCGTAATAAACGAATAAGAAACTGGTTCATATCCGAGGAGGAAGGAGCAAAAAGGACAGTAGTATGATCCCCTTACCCAACGCTCATACGCCGCAAGGGAAAACAAAACAAGGAAATTCGTTTGATGATGTTTTTGGAGAATAGAAATCTTTGATGAGGCAAAAAGAAAAAATGCTTCCTCGTTGGGGGGTTTCTATTTTTTTGAATTAGAATAACCTCCCAAATTCCCTATGTCCATAACATATTCCCACCCCCATAAGTGTTGTCATTTCTTATTCCTTTTACTTTCATCCCAGTCCCAACAGCCAGTACCGCCTCTAATCCGTTTTAACGCGACTTGGCAGCGACCTTGGGGGCAGAGCCCTTAGCACCCTGCTTGCTCTGGATGCGCTGAGCGGGCTTGGCGCCGGAGGCAGCGGCCTTGGCCTTCTCAGCACGCTTGCGGCTCTCGTTGGCGGCCTTCTTCTCCTTGGCGTCCTTGATGGCCTGCTGGCGAGCGGCGGCACGGGCCTCGGGGCGCTGAGCGCGGCGCTCCTTGATCACGTCGAGGGAGGCACCAACGATGGCACGCTGGCTCTTGACGGCACGGCGAGTGCGCTTCTTGGCAACTTCCTGTAGGTTTGAAAAAAGGGTCCCGGTCAGCATGTGGTCTCCTTTTATGGAACCTTATACATGTATCCCCCTTTCTTCCTTCGATGTTGTTGCGATAGTCTCCACTGCCACCACCGGGTTGTAGTTCATCCCATCCGGTATATCATCGAAGATAAATTCTACCGTCATATCCAATCACATATTGATGTATGTTCGCGTCGTAATTCGATGACACATGCATCACTCCAGTAGGTCCTCCTCTTTCCAACCCATGCAACAAAACAACGAAACAACAAACTCAACGAATCCAAAGGGATAAATGGCGGGTACTGACTTCAGAGATGCCCTTCTTGTGCTGGCGACGGTAGAGGACAGTCCAGGCGATGCGGCGGGGGTTCTTGCGCTGGAGGAAGAGGGACTCGGACTTTCCATTCTGGAAGCGGAAGATCTTGCTGTCGCCACGGACGTACAGCTTACCCTATAATTTTTCAAAAATCAACCGTCAACTGATATATCCTTGGTATGCATTGGTGAAGGGTCTGGTGTAAATGTAGGTTTTCGTGGCGAATTTCGAGGCCGGTCGTTTGTGAAAGTTGCTGGCGGGAAAGGGACATCAAAACGCACCTTTCCAGGGTAGATCTTCTGACCGCTGAAAGAATCGTCGTAGGTACGCATCTTGAACGTCTGAGATGCGCAGCCGGTCGAGACGAGATGTTGTCGGTTGGCGTTGGGTGGTTGAGTCGAAGCGGTCTCTGCGGCGAGCTGTTCGTGAGACTGACACAATTGTGGTGCGGTGCGGAGCCTCGCTAAGCGGTGCCACGTGACCGCCCCTGCCCTTGGCTGGTTGGCTGCCGCCTCGACTTCTCCAGATTTTGGGGATCGGGATGTATGTGCGCGATGAGTTGGATTTAAGGTTGTATTACTTAGGACTTTGACGGTCTAATAATTAAATTTGAAAAGTTAACTGGAATTATGGTCGCATATCTGCATTGATGACTTTCATAATACATACATTGGCCTCAATGCTCGCTATTCTCTCCCTCCGGATAATGACCTAATATCATCAGAACTGCCATCTTCTGCCGAAGACTCCTCCATACCACCCTTCAACGGCTAATAGATCTGGAGCTTCCTTTGGAACTTTATCTCTGACTGCTGTACGATGAATTTTCATCGGCATATTATCGTAACTTCGTCATGATATTGTCGTGCTTCATATCGTGGCGCCCCGCTGACTACTCGTGCCAGTCGCATACGGCCCAGGGATCTGCCTTGCACTCCTAACAGCATCGGTGTTAATACGGACTCATGCACTACTTGAAAAGAAACGAGTAATATCCGCTGCTCACCTTGCACTGGATGTCTCGGCAACTCTTGTCCGGGCATATTCCGCAACAGGACGGGCAGACATGCTTTCCGCAACCTGGCGTTGAACACAAGGAGAACGTGGTCGTGTCCTTGATGTAGGCTCCCACAGACTCCATGAGGCCCATTAGCCGTCTGCGGTCTCGTGCCACTAGAGGATCTGATCCCTCATCCGCGACTGCGCGCCTCAGTTCCTCATACACGCAACAGGCGGAACCGCAAAGAGGGCATTCCCCGTAGCATTTGGTGCACCATGGGTTTCTATAATTCCAAATTCTAGTGTCACCACTTCTCTTGCGTTTCCAATCTTCTTTGGGGTCGCGCGTTTGCTTAGGACAAGCTGTGGTCTGGCGAATGTAATCAACCTGTCATCCTGTTAGCAGGCATAGGCTAATAGTTCTGGGCTTTCGGTAAAAAGTTACCAGGTCGTCCATCGAGCTCGCGCGCCCAACTGGAGAGCTATCGTGGTAGTCCATGCCTGCTCCTTCTTCGTCCTTGTCCATGTCCTTGTCACTATCCCTATCCACGAGGTTTGCTCGGCGGAAAACAATGACTTTCTTGTCTTGCTTGGCAGTCTGTCTTTCCTGGGGCCAGACGTACTCAAGGATGGACTTAAGTGGACGGAGCCAGGAAGCCATTGCTTAGTCCCTCTTCTTAAGCTCTGGATCAGCTGTCAATATGGTAGCCAAATATACCCAAACTGAGAATACTCACCTGGAGAAGATTTGTAGCACTTTACTACCTTTCCTGGAGAGGCTGCGAACTGGACCTTCTTCCCTGTCTTCGCGCCCTTATTCTTCTTCAGAATGCCTGCGAGGTTGCGAGCTGCAGCAGTTGTATTGTTGATCTCTTGAGAACCAGCACTGGTTGAAGGGGATTGTTGTGTGTTGGGCTTCGCACCAGCTCCAAACACGGAGTGCAGAGTCTGGGGAGAAGAGTCTAGGGACATTGCATTGGGGTCTTCCCTTAAATCCTGCTCTGTTGCTGTCATATTCACAGGATTTGTAAACAAAGCTGGAAAGAAAAGCGGGTCATCGTGATGGTCTGTGATGTGAAATGCTCTGGCGAGCTGGCTGGTGATGTCGTCGGTCAGTTGAGTGAAATTAGAAACCGGGTCCTCGCTTTCTGCTTGAAAGGAGTGAGGCTGGTCTCTAGAATGGTGGGTGTCAGATATATCAAAGTAACTAGCATGGCTTCTTTCCCTCCAATCCTGCTGGTGATATACAATCAGAAGAGAAAACATACGTTGCTTCTCCAGAGGTGTCCATATTGTCCTCGTTGTTCATTGTGCTGTTGTTGATGGTCACTGTGAGTAGTCTGCTTGAAATTCTTGGTTAGGTAACTATCTTTTACCGCTTGATGGTAGAATAAGGCAGGCAGTCAGAATATCGGTATCTTCCTGGTCCTGAAAATAACTGCACGAGGGAGCGTAAGGGAGCGTAAGGAAGCAAAACCAAGCTATACAATACGTGTTAGTATGAGTTAATCTTCGAGATCATTCACTCTGGTACCGTAATGAATATGGTGAATCTCCTAGCTGATTTTCTCTAGGACCATACTATTCACATTTAGATGCCTTCAAGGTCAGGAAGATAGAGATATCTCCAGCAGTATCATGTTACTGGGTAGGCTATGGTATCTAAATCGATAGTCATGGATCATTGTGTACTACAAGCCAGGTGCATAATAAACCACCAGGACAGTTGTGCCAGTAGAACTAAATCAAAGTCGACGATCTGCTACAGGTATATTGCAATTCTATGGAATGAATCTCTAAGATCGAAATCGAAAAACAGATCGCAGCCGGATGAAACAAAGCAAATGCCTATACCACACATCTGGAATGAGCCACAGCTCTATCACCATACATGAGCACTTGCGGGGAAACGAACCAGAGTTGATGGTTATGGATGCCTTCTCATTGTATGAAAGAAAAGGTCCCGGAGAATCGAGGCCTATCCTAAAAAATGCCAGGAAGGCAGAATGTCGCAGTACTTTTGCTCATGGTCACATCACAACATTGCTGCTCCTACAGTTTGTTTAGCGGGTGGAGCCCTTTCCGCCTTTCTTATCTAAGTCATCGCGTGGGTTCTAGTCCACTCCTTGGCAGTCTGTATCGCTGCTGGCTCGTCCTCCTTCCAGCGCTGAGCAACATCATTGGCAAGCGGGTCGTCAGGATTGGGGGCTCCCAGCAAAGCCTGGATGGAGAGAAGAATCGTGCGAATTTGCAAAGCGGGAGACCAGTTATCTAGCCACACGTTAGCCTAAATTCTTGTATCCTCCTTCCAACGTTGAGGTGTAATATTGCATACTCTTCAAGACGTCCAAGCAAATCCGCCCCAGGCGGTCAATGTTGGGATGGTAGATCTTGGTCAAAAAGCGAATCTTGGGCGGAGTCATCGGGTAGTCCTCTGGCAAGAACAGCTCGAGGCGGAAAATGCCACCTTGAAAGAAGTCAACAGCCATACAAACAGCCTCTGTATGCTTCTCTATTTACCTTCGTATGGAGACTGTGCCGGTCCGTGAATGGAGACATCGAAGTAACGCAGGTTATCTTCGTGAGGTACGGCGTTGATGCCAGGAACTCTGCAGGCGTGCGTCAACAATCTGTACTGTGATAGGATTCTTTCGTTAACCGGATAACTCACGGCTCTGCCATGAGACGCTCGGTCTCCTTGATGATTCGCTTAGGCAACGCCATTTCGAGTCTGTGAAATAGGAACGTTTAATGTTCTGTTCAACCCCGCGATTTCACGGTTATGATCAAGGTGGGGCTTACGGCTCTCCTGCAGATTTCTGGCAGTCGGAAAGCAGCGGATACCTCTCCCACGTAGCTTGGAGCAGGCGGAACTTGACAGCAGCCTCTAGCGATGATCGCGGGAAGTAGAAGCAACAGCCACCTGGGATGTTCCTATGGCTGGAGTTCGATTCGATATGGAACGACGTAACCGACAGAGGGGCTGCGCAGGTTGCATACACCGCCTGCCGTAATGGGCACTGGAGGCTGGAGGAACCAAGTGTGCAGAATCGGAGACTGCGGCCGGGAAGCAACTCGCCAACCCCGGACTTTGCGGAGTCCACAGCTGCTGTCTGAGGCCCTTGGTTCGGATATCTACAATTCCCCAGGCAAGATTCCAATTGAAATAGTGATCTTTTCTCCCTGCTCATCCTATTAACCACCGTTTAAACAGCGCACCATCATTGGTCTATCGAAGATACGGTACATGCGCCTCTGGAATTCCAAGTTCGACCGCCCCCCGTAACGACCTCCACAATGCGCACAGCCAATTCCACAGACCCGTTCCTCCTACGCAATTGATGAAAAGCCCATGACAAACGCGGTCGATATGATAGCGCCGTGTATGACCGCAAACGATCTTTCCACCAATGTGCTTCCTGATATTCTGAGTCCGTTTGAACGTTTCTCCAAGGCGTGGATAGCAGCCAAGAGGTAGCACAGAAACCAAGGAGCCTTTCACGCCCGGAGCCGGCGACGCCAACATGGTGGACCAAAGCGAGCCCAGGCCCCTCACATCGGCCTTCGAAAGTCCAACGTTCGGGGAGGATAGCTCATTCCATGTGGAGCAGCCTGTTGGGTCTATGTCGATCTCGCCCTGTGGACGGGATGTGGTTCTAGCCTCCAAGGAAGGTCTTCACATCATCGATCTCGATTCGCCATATTCGCCGCCAAGGTATCTTCCGCACCACACACCATGGGAGGTTGCAGACGTTCAATGGTCCCCGTTCGCTGCCCGAGACTATTGGGTCGTTAGCACATCAAACCAGAAGGCGTTGGTATGGAACCTGGGCATGAAATCCTCGCCAAGCTCGATTGAGCACGTTCTGCACGCCCACTCTCGAGCCATAACAGACATCAACTTCTCTGCACACCATGCAGATATGCTAGCGACGTGTGCCGTTGATAGCTTCGTCCACTGCTGGGATCTGCGGACACCCTCCCGTCCCGCTATTTCATTCTCTGACTGGCTTGCTGGAGCAACACAGGTCAAATGGAACCGACAGGACCCCAACGTTATTGCAAGTTCTCACGACAAGTTCTTGCGGATATGGGACAAGCGGATGGGCGCGTATCCGATCAAGTCTATTGAGGCACACAACACGAAGATTTATGGGCTGGACTGGAACAGGGTACGGCCAGGGGCTCTTGTAACGTGCTCTCTCGACAAGACGATCAAATTCTGGGACTACACAGTGGACACAGAAGTACCGGAGAAGGTGATCAAGACGCCGTTTCCAGTATGGCGAGCAAGGAATACTCCTTTCGGATGGGGTGTCTTGGCCATGCCGCAAAGAGGAAACAGTGATCTCCACTTATATAGCCGGAGAGCTGGGGAGGGTTCTACTTCGAATGATGAGCTTCCTCTGGTACACAGCTTCCTAGGACACAAAGGCCAGGTGAAAGAGTTTCTCTGGAGAGCACGCGGGGAGATAGAGGATGGTATTGATAATAGAGAGTTCCAGCTGGTGTCTTGGGGCACGGATCGTGAACTACGCTTACACAGGGTCGATCCGGATATTATGCAAAGGGTTGGCTTTGAGAAAGGGAAGACTTATGTTTCCAATATGCAGCTCACGCGCAAGGGCGCACTGTATAGGTCGTATCGGGATACGCCTATCGATGAAGAGGAAGAAGATATGGACTCGCTGTCACCCACCACTCGACAGAGCTCCACACCTCAGACGTCTCGTAACCCCGGCATGAATACTATCTCGGTCCCATACGCTCGCGCATGGACGCAGAGCGGGGCCAACGCCGATTCTAGGATCGGTATGCAGGGTCGGACAAACGTTCGCACGGATACTAATCCTATTTCATGGATGCGTGGCGTGAAAATTTCCGGATGGGATATCGAGACCCTGGGCGACGAGATTACCCATGTCGGAGAAAAGTTCACCAAGGTTGCTTTTGAATCGGTCGATGTCAGACAACGAAAGGCAACTATATCCCTTCACGGACCATGGGGTGCTGATGGTGACTCTATCTTCATGAAAGTCGATATTAAATTTCCCGTTGATTACCCTCGAGATGCCATGCCAACATTCAGTGTGCAGAAGACTGCCGCTGTCACCGACCAACTTGCCGACAAGTTGATAGCTGAACTTCGCACGATTGCAGAAACCTTCCTTGCTCACAAACGAGGATGTCTCGAGGGGGTCGTTCGCTACCTCTTGGGCGAGAGTACCTTGGAAGAAAGCATAGCATGGATTCTTGGGGAAACGGCAGAAACCGTAAAGTCTCCCATCAACGGCCAACTAGGGGGTGAGGAGTCCAGCGATGAAGATGAGGTCGGCTTGTCACAAAGCCAAGATCTAGGCATGAGTTCTGAACTGCTTCGACCGGTCAATGCCAATGTCATGGTCCCGGTAGCCAAGGGATGCGGTGCACTATGGGCCAACGATGGTCGCTTGGTGTGCTTCTTCCCATCTAGGAAAGACAAGTCCAATTGGCTTGAAAACCTAGGGTTTAAGGAAATGACCAGGTTATCCAGAGCGGACAAGGTCTTCGAAGGTTTTGGTCGTCTGCAGACCAATTCACCTGGGCCTCGGACGTCTGTCACAATGGCCAGCACTGACGATGGCGCTTCTGAATATTCCGACGATTCGGACGCTGAATCGTCAAGCTCCTCCGGGTCTTCTGGTATCTTGTCAGGGCTCCAGCACCGGTTTCCAACGCCCCAGACATGGCGGAGTGGTGGCAGTCTGGGACTCTATCGTCCGCGATCTACAGATAATTCGCAAAGGTCGACCGTTGGTGCGATGACATCGAAGTCATCTGAAGGCTCGCAGAATGTCATCTCAATCCACGACTTCAGTGATCTGCTACCAGCCAAGCGGGAACTAGCTAGCAAATATCGTATCTGCGGCAAAGTCACGGACGTTTGTGCGCATAATTCAGCTGTAGCCCTCGACCACGGTTATTACGAGCTGTCTCGGATTTGGGGACTTGTCAGGCTTATCTTGCACAACTGCAAGAGCTCAATGTTTTCATCCGGGTTTGACACCCTGGATAGACCGTACATTCAAAGGAAGGATAGCGCTGTGGATCTGAGTAACGACATGGGAAGCCAGGACCAACGTCACAAAGGGTTTCTGAATACCGTCATTCAATGGGGCGACCATCCATTCGGTGGTCAGTGGCTAATCCCTGCTCTCTTCGAACATTTTGAACAGATCGGCGACGTGCAAATGATCGCGATGCTATCTTGTGTTTTGCACGAGGCCAACATTGACGAGGCGTCCAAAGAACACGCTCATGTCAGTCGGGCCGTTTCCAGGCGGATGGAGGAGCATGCATTTTCATTTGATTTGTATTCCCCCAACTCCGTTACGCAGAGCAAACCGCAGACGGCCGTGCCGCTTGCTTCAACACCGAAGGACAGCCACGCAACGCCCATTACCCATAGTTCTGGGCGTTCTTCATCTGAGATCTGGCGTCCCGATTCCACGCCGCCATATTCCACAGGAACAACCCCTCCTCTAGCCACTCGAGCCGGTCCCCTAGCAGCAGACCGAAAGACATGGACCCAGAACATAGCAATCGCTGCTTCGCCTGACCAGCAATCACAACCACGCAGCGGCTCCGGCATTGGTTCTGTTCTGGCCTCGTCTCTTTCCCGCTCTCTCACATTTGGTCCTTCGTCAGCATCTCCTCCAGCAACCGCCTTGTCCCGGAAGGTTTTCAACCCCAATGGCAGCCCCAACACAGTCGGAGGGCCAGGGGTTTGGGTGACGAGTGCCTTTACTGCGAAACCAGTCTCAGCCATTCCCGACTACCTAACTACCTCCACCGCGCTCACGTCACAAACCCACTCTGACACGGAGAGCGAGCGACCTACTCCCGCCAAACCGTCGACAAAGGTTCGCGCAGTCCTAAAGAACCAAGCTGCTTTCGAGGGCAACGGACAATCGCAGAGTACTTTCCTCGACCCCAAGAAAGAATGGCTATACCGATCGTACCGCGCAGCATACGCTCATCTACTCTCTATATGGGGACTACCAGTGCACCGCAGCGAAGTGCTGAAGATCGGCGGGAACCCCAATCCCACCAAAGAGCCAACACACCGTCGCCACAGAAGCCACCACGATTCATTCTCCCTCCCCAGCTCCAAGCGCCGCAGCTCAACAGCCGCGCCCACCGATACCGACAACCAAGGTCTCGAAATCCAACGCCACTGCATCAGCTGCGGCCAAGCCCTACAGCACTCCATCTTCGCAACCAAAGCACTCACCGAAGCAATCCCCAAGAGCCACATAAAGGGCATAACACCCCCTCCCCTCACCTGCCCCCACTGCAAACCAAAACAGCCCCTCCCTCTCCGACTCCCCTGCGTCATCTGCAGCGAAGTCGTCGAAGGCATGCTCATCCCCTGTCTCGGCTGCGGTCACGTCAGCTGCTTCGACTGCCATCGAGGCTGGTTCTCCATGGCACCGGACACCGACCAGGAAGAATATCACTACTGTCCTACCGGCTGTGGCTGCAAATGCGCCGATTACATCGACCCAGACATCCCCACGAACCCGTGGAAACTCAACCCGACCTCCCCGAGCACCCACGGCAGCGACACCTCCCTCCACCGACACCGCGCCAAGCCGTCCGATGGATCCGGATCCTCGAAACACGGCAGTGAAATCGTGGCTAGTGTCGGCCAGCACGAAGAGGATCTGGAGAACTGGCAGGCTGCGTCGCCGTTTGCGTCTCTTGCGCGGGGTCTCGGGGGTGGGTTGAGTCGAGGACTACGGGTTAAGGATGAGAGGAGGAAGTCGAAGCCGACTTCGGCGCCGTTTGTTCCTAAGAGGTCGTCGATGAATCAGGTGGAGAGTAGATGAGCTTTACTTCAGGTCTTTGCTGTTGCTTGCTGTCTGTCTGTGATTGATCTTGGCCTTCATATTATGATGCTTCATGTATACCAATACCCATTGATTTTGTTGTTTGTTCAGCGAGGTGTGTTTTATTTACCATATGAAAAGCGAGTGTGTTTGATATCATTACCACAACTTTTATAGAAGGGGTGAGAATACAAGTAGGTGTCGAGGTCATAAGCCTAGTCTCATATAGTGTTACGTCGATTGATACAATGCCCAATCTTATGGACAGATAGGTCATAGCCTATGTATCTCCGCATTACACTCCCCAGATTTCACACCAGTCATCTATGACCATTGATAATGATCCACAGACCCAATAACCATGGAAGTTACAGCCTCAAAGCACTCATCTTCATCCACAGAAGTTCCGAGTTGAGAAAAGTATAATCATTCCTTTCATTATAGAAAAAGGCCGATTTGACCCATCTCCGCAACTAACAAACCTAAGCTCCAGCTCCAAGCTCCAAGGATAGTAAATCCCATAAGCAAGAAAAAGAAGAGAAAAACGAATCTGCTCAGCGCGCACACCCACAGGGCAAAAAAAAGAGCAGCACACACAAGCCTCATTCACCTCGTCCTTCCTCTTAACGATATATTAGGATCCCATCCAATCCAGTAAATGGAATAATATACCCACAGTGGTCCGTCCGTACAACGAATAAGAAGGTAAAAAAAAAAAGTTGTCAAGTGGCAACGAAGATGATATCAATTCCTCTCAAATAAAATTCAAGCTGATGGTTGTTAAAAGGGAGATAAAAATAAATTTTTAATAAATTTACTCGACGTTGCTCTCGAAGTTCTCGCCCTCAACGAGATCGGGGATATCATCCTCCTCATCGTCCTTCTTGCCGTCAGCGCCGGCCTGGTTCTTCTGCATGTTCTGGTAGCTCTCGGCGAGCTTGCGGAGGGAAGCAAGGCTGTCGGGGCCAAGCTGGTTCAGGATACCGGGGACGAGCTCGGTGAGTTCCTTCTCCTCGCCGTTGCCGTAGAGGGCGAAGGTGTTGGAGGGGACGGAGGCGTGGACTATATACCATCAAGAATAATTTAGTATTCTGCTGTCTTTTTGGGTGGATAGGTTGGTGGGGGGATATACCCTTAGGAGCACCAAAGTGGATGACGTTTCCGTCCTCCTTGAACATGTTAACCTCCTCGATGGCCTGGATGGGCTGGACGTTCATCTTCTTCAGGGTGGCCTGGAGCTTCTTGTCGTCGGCACCGGAGGACTTGTGGACCTTCTTGACCTTGCGGCGGGGAGTACCCTTGCCTCTGTTGGGTTGTTAGTTTTCGATTCGTGGGTTCTGATATCGAGGTTGGATCGGGTTTGGGGGGTGGTGATGTGTGTTGAATGTGTGTGTTATTATACGTACCCTGTCAGAGTGAGAAAGGTATGTTAGCTTTAGCTGTTCCTCATGATAACTTGGTATAAAAACAATAATAACACGCAACAATATCAATCAACATGATCCTGAGCTTCCGAGCGAGCCTATTTGCTCCTCCTCTTCTTTCCTCTTTCGTTCTTTGCAGAATCGAATCGGATCGGGATCCCTTAATACCACCCCAAATAGCTCTCACAATCTCTCCCCCCACCAATAATCCCTCCCATGGATATTGATTATAAATCGGATGCGAACAGAGCAATAACAAAGATACAAAAGAAATCATAAAGAGGAAAAAAAATGATACATACCAATCCGCACGCTCTGCTGCATTCTAGCCAACTTTGCCTGATCCATTTTGACGGGAGTATTGAAGCTTGAGTGCTTTCAACCTGTAAAGAGGAGGATTAAAAAATCCCAAGACGTCAGATATCGATCTTCCTAATTTTTGAGTGTATAATGTGTGTATTGTGGAAATTGTGCAGAGTCATTCTCGCGTAACGAAGAGGGGAGCGGAGCGTTTTGAGCGTCGAATTCGCGCGACCGGATCGAATTGGAATTGGGAACGAATAAATTCGGGACAGAAGATTCGCGGGATGACTCGTCGTTGAGTGGGAGAAGACCGACAAAGTATTTCGAAATGTCCAGAGGGAAAAATGGGTTCTAGAGGGAGGAATAATGGGGGGTAATAATACGTACCTAAAGGAGATGATGGGGGGGAGTATTTGGTGCTAGAGAGAGAAGAAGAGGAGGGAGGTGAAGTGGGAGGATGAGGATGAGGATAGTTCAAGTTCGATGATGCGCTTCGCACGGGTTTGTGTGGGGAGCAGAGCATGCAAAAGCCGACTTTACGTTCTCAGTACTTCTACGACATTGATAATATTCTCTACGCAGTGTAGCTCGTTAAGTAGAATTTAAGGTATTGTTCTTTATAATATGGTTATATTATGTGCATTTTTGGCTATGGGACTACAATTTTCATGGGAAAGGCACTTCGTGGCCGTGCTGGATGAAGTTGGTTGTGGGCGAAACGAGGAATCTGGACAGGGAGGCTCCTCGGCTAAACCCTAACGATCGCGGCCGCTGCTGACTTTCTAGACTGGCATCGATGGGGGGGAGATCAGCAACATTTCAGATGTCATCAAGGCATTGTGAAATTGGCAGGGACGCTGAATTGGAATTTTCTTTTTTCTTTCCATGGGCAGCAGGTTGGTCCCTTTTTTTCTTGCGAGGTTGTTTGGCACCTTGGGACAAGATTGTGCCACCAATGGCTTTCGCCCGGATTGACGCTCACCACCCGCTTTCCGGCATCTCATACCGAATCCGGTAATCTGCGAGTTTACCCGTCTTCAACCCCGCGATCCGGACCCTGAAGCACCGCCGGATCTCACATCATGTTATTCCATAGGTATCAAGAAATTAATATAAATATAACAACCACTGCTGTTTCCAAAGCATGGTCACGCATATCCTGAAAAGAATATCCGTCGATATCTCTAACTACAGGTGCAGCGGGGGTAGACCAAACGATCACCGGAACCAGACAAATTTACGATTTCTCCGCAATCTGCTGCTCAGTCCACTCCCACAGTCGCCGTGCCATTTCGACGTCCTTCGCATACCCGTTGCCCGTGGCGTGCACCCCAATGGGAACATAATAAGCCCCGTTGGTCAACAGTTCTCTGCTCGCCCCTGCGGCCCAGAGCTGATTGAGTGCGCCGCTCCGTATGCTCCGACTGAACGCAAGGATGGCGCCGATAGTGTACTTGGCTACGACACCCGTCTTAATCGTATGGTCCCATAGTTCACTCACGACGGAACCGGGATGTACCGCGACAGACAGAATCTCCGGATGGCGACGAGCCAGCTCCGACGCAAAAAGGATATTCGCTGCCTTCGAGGCACTGTACCGGGTCAATGTGTGGTCGGCTAATAGAGCCGGCGTAGAAGTCATGACATCGTAGGGAGGCGCGGCGACATTCGCGGCAGAGGCCAATGTTACTACTCGGACATCCCTGGAAAGTTCAACCGTTCGTTGCAGCGTGGGCAGTAGTAGCTGGGTGAGTAGGAAATGACCGATATGATTTGTCCCGAATTGAATCTCGAATCCTTCCTCTGTCAGAGCGGGCGGGCAGTTCATGATTCCGGCGTTGAGAACCAGGAGGTCCAGGCGATCGCATTTTGACGTGAACTGCTCGGCAGCGGCACGGATCGACTTGAATGAGGACAGGTCGAGGGCTATGTGTCTGATATCGGCGGATGGCACCTGCTCCCGGATTGAAGCGATGGCGTCTTCGGCTTTGGTCGCATTCCGCGCAGCGAGGTAGATGCGCGATGGGCGGTGACGAGCGAGTTGGAGGACGGTTTCTTTCCCTAGACCGGCATTGCCTGAGACAAGCAGAAATTAGCGCACTGAGAAAGACAGCCCAAGGTGTGTAGCAGAAGACATACCTCCAGTGACGAAAACAACCTTCCCTGATAGATCGTTGATGTCGCGCTCCGGATTGAAGGAGTACCCCAGCAGTCCAAAGGTGATTTCACTCACCGTCGGACCAAAGCTGCAGTAGGACTCCACGGGGCGGGAGAGCACATTTGAGAGGAAATTGACGACAGATGCCATTGATTGCGAGCAGCAGTAATGCTATTAAAACCACGTAGACTGTAGAGGCGCAGAACCACTCAAGTCACAGTGGGGAGAGGATAGCAAGACCAGTTTCGAAGGGGGCACGGGCGCCGCCCTCGGTGCCGGAGATCATTTCGTTGAATGGAAACTCCGTGAACTGTGACATCTCACATGTTGCATGTAGGGGGTAGGACGAGCCATCGTCTTGTAAATAGCCGAGAAGGATGCATAGTCTGGATTGGAAAGGATGACGACTGAAGAAATACAGAGACAGATGAGATAGTCCAGGAGTAGATGGAGAAGGCTGAGAGTTCGTCTTACGTTAGTGGCATAGTGGCAGGCCAGTGCTTCAGCTGACGGTCGGAAGGCGTAGTCTAGTTTAGTATTCAACACATTTCCCCTTCTTCTTCTCTTGTCAGCAATTGTTGCCCAGGAACACATCTGTTCAGAGAGAAGTGACACAAAAAGAACTCCTTCACAAGACAACCATCCAAAATGCGCTTCCTTTGCCTCCACGGCGCAGGTACCAACGCCGAAGTAAGCAAGCATCTTCCCTGCTGGCGGCCATCTCTTTCTTTCTTTGGCTTATCTCCGCTTCCCCGCCATCCAAATCTAACCGTTGGAACAAAAACAATAGATCTTCGAGATCCAATCCGGTACTTGAAACAACAGTCCAATTCGCCAGGCCTATAATTGCCAATCTAACTTGTATCGCACTCAGGTGGCATCTCCTACGACCTCGCTAAATATGGCCATACGTTTAAATACTACGATGGCTGCATGGAAGCCGAAGTTGAGCCTCGTACATCTCCCCCCGCCCTCCACACCAAAGAAAAGATTCGGAGTATATCTGGAGACATGTGATGGCTAGCTAACACTTTGAATAGAGCTAAAGGGCCTCTTTACTGGCCCCTTCTACAACCACTATCCTCGTGACCGCGCACCGGGCGAATATCTCGCCCCCGCAATGAAGCACGTCTACGATATCATCGAGCGTGAGGGTCCTTTCGACGCCGTCATGGGATTCTCGCAAGGTGCTGCCCTGGCATGCGCTATGATTGTACACCATGCGAAGACACATCAAGAGCCTCTGTTCAAGGTCGCCGTGTTTATCTGCGGTGCTGCGCCGTTTGACAGCACGGGGAATGAGGTCATCCCTGACACTTCGGCTGAGGGCGAGTATCCGGTCAAGATCCCCACGGCAAATATTGTGGGAAAGCAGGATGAGCTGTATCCCTCTAGTATGCATTTGTCCAGGCTGTGTGAGCCGAGTAAGATGAGCTTCCATGATCACGGGTCGAAGCATATGGTGCCGTTTGATGTGGAGAATACTAATGCTATGGTGGCTGCTATTGAGGCTACGGTTCAGAAGGCTTTGAGGGGAGAGTAAATGTGGGTGGAATATTCGATTACGAGCGATGAATAGATGGTTACTAGATTTCGTCACTTCATGCATCTTGATCTATTATGTATTCAAGCTAATTGTATGTTCAATCCTGCTTTATCGGCGCATCCCGTTTCTTTCCCGAGATGATCCCCAACAGCATAACCGCAATTCTCCATATAACAATGCCTAGGAAAATGCTGTATGTGATTCTAGCACCTATAGATGGTGCAGCAGGCACGGATCTGCCATTACCAAGTCATAATCCGGCGGCCGACTGACCCTCCTCCGGGGGAATGGCCTTCTGAAGGAACCTTGTCAAATCCTCGATCTCCTCGGGATCGGCAGAGTGGCCGAGATCACTGCCCAAGTATAAGCATGCCATTTCAGCAAAAATGAAAGCGAACGGAACACTCACGAGTAAGAATGGAACTCGACATCCTGAACACCCAACTCCTGAACCATCTTCGCCGACTGCTTACCGAAATCAAACTTGACCACCTCGTCCTCCTCGCCGTGTGCGATGAAGAAGGGCGTCTGCTTGTTCGGCCAGTTTTCGGGGATGAAGTTCTTAATCCGATCATGTAGCAACAAATAGCAGGAAAGACCGAATACACCACCCAGCTTCTCCGTGCTCGTGAGACCCGCAAACAAGGACATCGCTCCACCTTGCGAGAAGCCTCCGAGGACAATGCGGGAGGGCTTGATACCCTTGTCGATCTGCTCCTTGATGAGGGAGTTGAAGTATTCACGGGAACGGAGGACGCCCGGCTCGTCCTGGTGGCGGATGGCTTCTTCGAAGTCCAACTATGCAGCCATTAGTCTTTTTATCCCAGGTTATAGATCTGTATTCACCACTCACATCACGACCCAGCTTGGAGATGTCGTACCATCCCGGCATGGACATTCCAAAGTTCTATTACCCGTCAACTCAGTCCAGTATTCCCAGAGCTCCGTAGGTGACAGTCACCGCATACCACTGTGATAGGGATCATAGGGGCGTTCGGGAAGATGAAGGCGACTTCATCGAACATGCCGCGGCGGCGCCAGTTCTGGGCGAGAGCCATCCTATTTCGATTCAGTTATTTCAAGTCTCGTTTCGAAGGAGTAGCGCCCGTCATTTGTGGAACATCATAGTCTCGATTTACGTACCATCCAGCACCACTGTTGAGAAAATAACGTTAGCCAGTTGTACATCATTTAGAGCGCCGTATGCTAGGGACCAACCTGTCGCCCAAACCGTGGGCCATGATCACCGTCGCGGTGTGCTTCTTCAGCGCCGGAACAATAAAGGGGGCGCGTGTAGCCATTTTGAAGTTATCTCCCTTGGTTTAGATGAGACACCGTACACAAAGGTTCGTGTTTAAAGGATGGAAACAGTGGAAGAGAGCCATGGATTATGCCGAGCGGACAGCCTCTCCCCGCGATTCTGCCGAGGATGTTGGCCTACCGCCTTCGGAGATTGGCTGCTTATCGATGATGGAATGGTTGATCACTAACAGTTTATTGACGGCGGCTACTGTTGGATGTGTCTGTTTTGTTGGGTATAAAAAGAGTTTCCATTATGCTGGCATTAGTCTTATGAAGATTGTTCCAGAGGTGGATGATGACTTGAAGTACTGTGTAGTGCTACTCCGGATCTCCAACTATAGTAAGTAAACATGGTTAGTATAAATTTATATATTACTTGAGTGAAGAAAGGTGTTCATGGTCATCTATGGTTTTCACTTCAATACTCAATACTTACTGGAAATGGACATAACAAATAGTGTCTCTTTGCTTATGATTCCATCAGCTTCCAAGGAAACCATTTGTCCAATAGCTAATACACTGGGTTATATCAGGTCTTAGTGGTTCAAAAGTGATCATGCAAGTGTAAGTAACGGTTACCAACCTCCAAGTAACCAATTTCTACTAGCATTCTAAATTTATGCAACAATACGGCATTGACCAATAAGGATAATTAAGTTCCAGTACCCTTGAAATTCAATAGCTACTACCGACCGTATGTTACTTCTATATTCCAAAAACAAAACATACCCTTCCTCTCTACCTACGTGATGAGATTGCATTTATTTATCAGCCAAGATTTTTCTCGAAAGTAGCTCAATGATAAGGGAAAGTATATCCTGTGATATGATAGTCACCAGATCAGCGCTGGCTGTATATGAAGTCAATCCTAGTACCACGTTGCGTATCATCGGGACTGAAAGTAAGAGCATTACACTTGTACTCTGAAGTAAGACCGATACAAACACATCTCCATAGAACCTGAAGCACGCGGTCCTCCTCAAAGGAAAGAATAGAACAGCAAAGGTGTCTATCCTAGAATCGGGGCATGAGCTGATCAGACTTCGTGATAGTATTGAAGTTATTGACTATTGGGACGTGCATGATTGAACGCAGGTTCAACTACAAGGTGATACAATGTACTCCTACTAAATTCATATAATTTTGGGGGCTTTTGATTGATTCTCGCTAATTACAATGGGTATTCATGAATCATAAAACGCATGCTGCACTTCCATCCGCAACAAGATGAGTTTGGAATCCGAGAATGTATAGCCAAGGGCGGGTTGAGAAGTACTAGTGACCACGAAACATGGCTCCAACTTTCTATACATGAATGATGAGCCTGAGCACATACCAAGGATGTGTCACCACAGGATGTAATAGACATTGGATTGTCGGTGAGGGAAATTCCAGAAGTCCGAATGAACAATGTTATTCGGGTAGACCCTGAGCCCTAGAAGAATAATCATGAGAAGGCAAAGCGAGTGCGAGCCAAAGTTATCCTCTGGTGTACCAAGGCGCCTAATGCAACATAGGCAGTTGTGCATTGGTATACTCTTACAACAGAGCCATTCCACCGACAACCGCAGCGCCCAGCATACCCCACGCAGCTGTCTCCAAAGCAACAGCACCGCCAGTGGAGGTAGATGTGCTTGAGCTGCTCGAAGAGGTGCTAGAAGAGGAGCTGCTCTGCGCTTCTCCAGAGGCAGTAGATTCATTGGCGTTGCGCTCGGCCGCAGCTCCAGTAAAAGCCACAGCAGTCACACCAGTGTTGTTCGAGCAGGAGGACGGTTCTTCGTAGGAGACGGTGGAGGAAAACTGAATGTCGGCGCACTGGGCGAGATTAGCATCTACACACGCGTAATGATTGACAGGGCAACATACAGCGTAGAGACCTCCGGTAGGATCACCATTGCTCTGGACCTGGACAGTTGCATTCATTCCATCGGTGATGTTGGTGCCAAGGATGGATTCATCGAACTTGATGTGCGGAAGACAGAAAGCACCCAATCCCTGGATTTCAAAGGTCTGATGAAGGGTAATGTTGTAGTTGGTTCCGGGGTCGGAACCCAGCGCCAGGAGAACCTCGACAGCAGTCTGGGAGTGACCCATGGACAATGCGACGGGGAAAGAACCGGCGGAGATCGAGACCTGCGTACGATTGCTGGACTGGGCAGCTCCGCCGCAGGGGAATTGGGTCATCTGCTCTTCAGATCCATCACGGCTGGTAGGATACTTGAGCTCGAAGTGGGCGGCGACTAAGGGCGCAAGAGACGCCAGGTAGAGAATAGGGAGCTTCATGATGGTGAAGGTTGAGTGATCGGCGGTTTGTAGAGCGAAGGTGCCGTGGGATAGATGTTACACAGGGACCCTCGATGGTTTTATACTTATGCAGGACATGCTCTGAGCGGGTAAGAGCTGATTATAATGAAATTCTACGGCAGGACCGGGATTATACAGGGTTAAGCGAGGTGATTACAGAATGAGCGAGTATTATTCCCGAAGAAGAGACCAAAGCCGATGGATCTGATACTAGTCACTACTTAGTAACATGAATCTTGGATATTGTTTTGTGCCACTGAGAAGCTGGAGCTCCAGGGACCCTGCAGTGAGACTTAGCAGCACTAGGGCTGATTGGGTTAGGAAATGTGCTCATTTCTTCTCAAGACTGGCAAATCCGGTGAAGTTCCCCGGTTCAAGTCCGCCATGTGGGGGATTGCCAAGCCTGCCCATTGTGCCTGAGCCCATGTCTATACCCTCGGATATAAGACATGGGGGTATACGTTGTGAATTAATGTGTTTGTACGGTGTCAACTTACTAGTAGATGGTTTCAGTGTCAGTTTGAGGGCACTAGATAACCAAGGAACGGAATGGTACCCCGCTCATCTTCCTAGGCACATCTTACTTCCTCCACTCAGTCACATCTAGATAATTCATCTGTCCACCAGTTATTTCGCGGGAACATGGGGTCGACCTACAGGAGAATTTCAAGATTCTAGACTCAAGATAATCTGGCGAGTATGGTATGAAGAATACCGGTGTACCCTATAACTAGGAGTAATATTGCGTTTCGATACCATACACTCATTTTAGGAAAGCACTATGTTGATACCGTGAGAATTGGAAGGAGAGCCATCAGCAGCTTCCCAAATAAATAAATGAGAGAAACAGACGGACAGCATCAAATGCGGAAGTCACCTGCTGTCTGGCGATGCAGTCCAGAACAACTGATGGCGGGAAGCACCCGCCTCAGACACAGAGGTATCCGTGCTACCTTTACGTGCCATTGCCACACTGCATATCAAATAGTCTTACAGAAATTTACTTAAACTCCAGCAACTCCCCAGCAATTATTCAGTATGTTATTTTTCGATTTCTTGAAGCGATTCTACTATGCGGCAGTCAGCTCGCCGACCCCGAGGAAGAGGGATGACGCCATCAGAATAGGACTGCTTGGAGCATCCTCCATAGCGTAAGTTGATGAAGCACTGACTTGCAGGCTATCTTATTTATGTCTGCTCTAGTCCCCTGGCCATAATCTTACCCGCCTTGTCTCACCCGGAAGTCATCGTGGCAGCGGTCGCTGCTCGAGATCCCGAGCGCGCCCGTCAGTACGCCGAGAAGTACAGCATTCCGATCGTCCATAATACTTATCAAGGTGAGATTCTCCACAACTGGCTCGAACTTGACGAAGCATGGATGGGTCTTAATGCACGTGTCAGAACTTCTGAGCGATCCAGCCATCGACGCAGTCTATATTGCTCTACCGAATTCCCTACACTTTGAGTGGGCCCTGCGTTCCATACAAGCAAGAAAACATGTTCTTCTTGAGAAACCGTCCTGTTCGAATGCTGACGAGGCAAAGTCACTCTTCAGACATCCATTAGTGACTGCGCCGAATGCCCCGGTTCTTCTTGAAGCTTTCCACTATCAGTTTCACCCAGCCTGGCAGGCCTTTCTCCACCAAGTTAATAACCTTCCCTGGGGCGCGACTGTAGAGCATGTCTATTCCCAGCAGTATCTTCCCAAAGGGTATTTGGAAATGGACGACATCCGCTTCCACTATGGCTTGTCAGGTGGCTGTCTCATGGACCTAGCAACGTATCCCCTCTCCTGCGTGCGGCAGGTGCTGGGTAGAGGGGAGCATCTCAATCCCATTGAAGCACTGCATCGCCCCTTGCCTGTTGCATCAGATGGATATCAGCCGGAGCCACAAATTGACGCGGCAATAAAAGCTACCTACGCTACAGACAGTGACAAGACCGCAGAAATCAGGGGTGATCTTTTATTTGGAGGAGGGTTTTCGTTTCTCCCGACGGCATGGTCTCATTCCCTGCCGTCGTTCAGATGGCCCAAGACTGAAGCAAGAACAGGAGAGATGCTGCTTAATGGATTAAACGATGAAGTGCGCCACTTTGTCAGAAGGAAAATCACGTTGTGGAATCACCTCATTCCGACAGTCTACCACCGGATCGATATCTGCGATACACATACTCTCCGCCGAGGGGAAGAGGTTGTGAAGACGTGGGATGTGATAGAGTATGCCAAAGCATACAACTGGCCAGCGGGCGATGTGCGAGCGCAGACCTATCAGGAATGGTGGACTACCTGGCGCTGCCAACTAGAAGAGTTTGTCAATCGGATCAAGGGTCGTGCGGGCTCCGGGGTGTGGATCGACGGTGAGGAGAGCATTGCGCAGATGGAGGCGATCGACGATACGTACGCTCAGGCGGGATTGCTGACACGGCCGACCAGTGCTTTTGAGGTTGCAATTGATAGAGATCCGGGGACCAATAGTCTGAGGCCTGCGTATTACTACAAATTGTCGATAGAAAGTAAGTAGTCAGTATCTTTACGAATGGATTTCCAACTTGAATAGCATCAACATACTGAATCTAAAAGACATCGCAGCGTATCAATTGCCATTCGCGGTTAGTGGCATGGATCCTGCCCGCGCCGTCCGTGTGGTCCCGTCCGCACCAATAGGAGTGGGACAACCTACAGCCGATCACGCCACGTCTGGATTCCGTCCGCGTGAGGCCAATAGTCCACTGTAACCTGCAAAGCCTACAAGGATTATGTAGTATACCCATGCATGTGATGTCTTTCGACCGAAACCATGTTATTATGCCGACACAGTCCAAAACCTCCCCAGACATTATCTCTATGTACTGAAGTCTAAGCTAATCACACATCCTCGACTGTAATGGTATCAGGGCGAAAAAGAGGCACAGAGCAGAGATCCAAGAGACCAATAAGCGGGAGGTGGTATCTGAAAACAACCAAAAAGCCAACAGTGCACATGCGTGACACTCGCTATCCCAGAAATATGAAATGAATGCAATGCAATGCAATGCAACGCCAGGCCAGCACCGAACACCCGAACCGAGAACACCGTGCGAAATAGAAGTCGTTATGTTCGAGGAACCCGAAATGAATATGTATGTATGCATGTATGTGGGTAGGACTAATGTTCATGCTCATTCCACTGGATGAAGCGTCCCACGGCAAGTTCGCCCAGGAAGGCACCGGCAAGGACGGAGCAGAAGTATCCGATGTTCATGGTCATGACGGCCAACATCCTGTGATTGTTGTGTTAGTATGTGTTCTATGTTTGTGGAGGTGAGGTAAAGGGGAACATACAGTAGGTAAGAAACACCGGTGATAACAAGAAAGAGCAGCGCGCGAGGGAGATCTGTACTGAATCGCCAAGGGAGAGGTTCGCGGGCCGCTTTGTGGATGACTTTGACTTTCTCCTCGACACCTTGGGCCGTGATGAGACTGGCTTCTTTGGATTCAGGATCAGCGTCAATGCGACCTGCTTCCGTGGATTTCCCTGCGACGGCGATGTAGCGACGGTTGACGTGGGCGTCGAGCCAGCGGCGTTCCATGAGGGCTTTGAAGGCGGCCAAACAGCGGGAGATGATGGCGAGAACGATGAGGAAAATGCAGGTGCCGGCGTAGGTGCCGCTGGAGGACGGGGTCCATTGGTTGGAGAAGAGGGGGGTGTCGTGGGCGTTCATGAAGACCATTGACATGGACATGGACATAGAAGAAGAGGAAGAGGAAGAGGTGGACATGGGCATGGACATGGAGGTAGAGGTGGAGGAGCCCATAGACATGTCCATTGTGGACGATGCGGTGGAGGTAGCCATTGACATGCCGGACATGGTAGTGGAGGTGGTTCCCATGTCCATACCGGTCATTGAGCTCATGTCCATTGTTGGTAAGTCGTGATGTAGTGTGAGTGGAGTAAAGTAGGATTAGGGTGGTGTTTGGTATGGACGGTTCGGGTAGGAGGTATGAACTGGAATGTGGGAAAATGAATATATTTAAAGATGTCAAAGCACCAGCCCTATGTACAAGATACTTTATATGACGGGATTGGGAAGAGGAAGAAGAAAAAAAGAGGAATAAAATGTTAATGAAGACATAGAAAAGCGGGCCATGGCTGTCACAGCCGGTGATTTTCCGCATCTTTAAAGGACCTTGAAAACCCGCGGACCCGCCAGGTAAGCGGCCGATAGCGCTAGAGCACATTTGGGCGGCATTTGAGCACATTTTGGCTGCGGGAGCCAATCAGCAGCTGCAGAGCTCAAGGCCCGTCCGAAAGCATGGCCGGATTAGCAGGTGGGGATTGAGCAGATTATTACTACTCACTGAGTCGCTTTGACTATTATTCCCTCTCATTTTCTCTCAATTATACTCAATATGACTGACTAGAGTAGATAGGCAGTATTGGCATCGGGTTCGATCTCGGGCCCTTAGTCGCTCGTTTTCGCCTAATTGTCATTTGCTTCCTTCTCTTTCGTTCCCCGCGATATGTACATCGTGCATTTCTTCTACCATCATGCTTGAATACAATTCCTTTCATTTCTAGTATATACTGAGTTCTCTTTCTTTATACCCTAATCCGGATACTACTAGTCTACATACCTGCAAGATGGACATGTCCATGTCTGGCATGGGCCACATGTCCATGGGAGATGGCGTGCCTGGTCTGTTCTATCTGCAGAAGATGTACTGGGCTGTTGTAGGTAGTGCCATCGCTGCTGGAACGGTCATTAATGTTCTGAATCGCTTTCTCGCCTACCAAAGGTAAGCTCCTTTGTTTATCGAAATAACGTATGCTTATTCCATCAGGTTAAAGGACTCGTCCTTGACCCCCTCCAAGCCCAAGTCTATCTTCTTCAGCACATATGCCACCTTAACAGCCATCGTGCGTGAAGCTAGCTATGCAACCTTGCCCCCTTTGTCATTCCGCGGCCACTCCTATCACTTTGCGCCGCTGGGCCCGGTGTCTATCATCCTGGCCAACCTCATCGTCGTGCTCGTCTTTTGTTTCTACAAGCTGGACACGGCCGACCAGTGGAAATGGGAAGATGTGGGCTACCGCACTGGGTTCATTGCCATCTGCCAGCTACCGTTGATCTTCTTGTTGGCAGGCAGGCAAAACCTCATTGGCATGCTCGTAGGTATGAGCTACGAGCGTCTTAATTGGTTCCATCGGTGGATTGCGCGGACGCTGTGGCTGACCGCTACAATCCACATGTGCTTTTGGTTTCGTGATTGGGGCCGTTATAACTACATCGTCTACGAGCTGAAGAACTACACCCTGGCAACGAGAGGTTTCGCCGCATGGATTATCTTGACCTTTATTGTTATTACGTCCGCCGCACCGATTCGACGGTTTGGGTACGAGTTCTTTGTTTTACAGCATCTGGTGACCTTTGTTGGTTTCATCGTTGCCGTGTGGCTTCATGCACCGGCAGAAGTCAAAGTGTGGGTGTGGATTCCCATCGGTTTTCTTGTCTTTGATCGGGTGGCGCGCTACTTGTGGGCGACCTATGCGAACCTCTCGATTTTCCATCGTTCTAAGAGCCCGGCTCATGCTCTCTGGGCGAATCGGGCGACTTTCACCCCGTTGCCAGGCAATGTAACTCGTATAGCGATTGAGAATCCTGGAGTCGGGTGGAAGCCGGGTCAACATGTATTCCTCACATGCCACTCCATTGTGCCTCTGCAGAGCCATCCCTTCACCATTGCGTCCATACCAGAAGACAACAAGATGGTGATGTACGTGCGCGCAGAAAAGGGCGGCACTCAACGCTTTTTCCGATATGCATCGAAGAACCACCAGGTGCTTGGGGCTAGTGACCAGGTGGCTGTGAAGCAGGCACGTACAGTCTTCATCGAGGGACCGTATGGACAAATGCGGCCTCTTAAGCAATTTGACAGCATGATCCTACTCGCCGGCGGTATGGGGGCGACATTCACCGTGCCTTGCCTGCGGGATATAGTCGCCAAGTGGAAAGCTGAAAGCACAGCGCGGCTTGCAGCAACCAAGCGGATCCGATTCGTCTGGGTGATCAAATCGCGCACGCAGCTGAGCTGGTTCGACCGTCAGTTGCAAGAGGTGCTTAGGGATGTCGAGGAAGTTCGGCTCGCCAATCCGGACGTCATTCGGGAAATCGAGATGAGCATCTACATTACTTGTGACGAGAAGCTAGAGCAGGCGCAGAACACGCTTTGCGCCCAGGAACAGTCGCTGTTCCAGCTGCAGACAACCCTACCTGCGAACGAGAAATCCCTCGAAGCGGAGAAGGCAGCGACCGACGCTGTAGCCATAGAGTCTGTGGAGCAGTCTGGCTGTCAACCAGACGGAACATGCTGCTGCACAGCACCCATCAAAGATGAAGATGCCATCGACGCTACAACCTGTACATGCTCCGGGCATGCCGCACCGCAGTCTACCAGCGAGCTTGCAACAGGATCAGACTCGAAGTTAATGCAGAAACCGCTGCCCAATCTTACAGTCCTGTCTGGTCGACCACATGCCCGCACGATCATCCGCAAGGTCCTCGAGAAAGCAGAGGGCGAGAGCGCGGTAGTGGTGTGCGGACCGAGGGGGTTGTCCGACGACGTGCGACGCAGCGTGGTGTGTCTGAGCGATGAGCGAGCAGTACATAAGGGGACGGGGGCGCAGGGAATATACCTGCATGTTGAGCAGTTTGGGTGGTAGTGCTGCAGCATACAAGTAAATAGCATATGTTTTCGATGATATGATACCCTACCCACTTTAACAATAATGATATCAAACCAATTACACATTCTACTTCTACCATTAAACCTGATTAAATAGAAACCTACACTGTACGATAATCAAGCAATAGCCTCCTCTCCATCCTCTCCCTCAAACCAAAAAGAAAAAGAAACAAAAAGTCGGGCACCCAAACGGGCAACCAAACACACCTCCCGTAGATAACTAGTGAGTCAACCCATATGACGTAATCAGCCAGACCTCCGACCACCAACCACTCCAATTATCTCCATCAGAGACCCCTGCTGCCGATATCAACATCACCTACCACCATCTACCTACCAACATATACTCAATTCAATCCAATTAAACCCAATCCATCCAAAATGGTCTTCCGCTTCGTACGCCCATCCCCATCCCCAAACCTCCCCAATCCCCCCCAAACCCAACTAACTAATTCCCCCCCCCCCCGGGAAAATAGGCAAAAACCCTCGACCCAATAACCCTCTTCCACGCCCCCAACCTCTCCAGCAGCAAATCCGCCCTGTCCATCCTCCAACGCGCCTCCACAACAGCAGCAAGCACGACAGGCACTCCCCGCGGCGAATTCCAGCTGGAGGTGAGCACTGCGCCGCCGACGAACGACCAGTTGCGGAATATTCTCGAGTATGTATCTGGAAGTGGAGTGTCCGGGAGTGGTGCGGGGATTGGGAAGGTGTATGGTGTGGGCGAGGTGGTGAGGGGGGCGAGGGATGCGGAGGATGCGGTTAAGAGGTTTAAGGCGGATCCTGAAGGGACGTTTGTTAGACCTATTGTGAGTTGATTCTTTCATTTCATTCATTAATTGGGGGGAGAGAGAGAAGGGGATGGGTTTGGGGAAGGGATATGCTAATTGGTTTCTAGACAGTCGATTGGACGAAAGGACAGGCTGTGGTTGGGGATAATGAGTCGGAGATTCTCAAAATGGTGCAGGAGTTGGAGTGAAGGGATTGACTATTCTGATTCTAGTATACTGCACTCATGCAGGTCTACCATAGCTGTATCATACACAACTCCTTTCTTAACCCTCCCATTTCGTATCCGTTCCATTAAAAGTACTCGCTAAAACAATCCTCGAGATCCAGCTCGTGCCCGAATAGAACTCCCGTCATTCATGCAGTCTAAAACATCGTTCCGAATGATCCGTCCGTCGCGATCGGTTTGCGCGGTGAGCCGCGGCCTAGCCCGTCCATGGCCGGCTTGCGGTGTCTGTTGCTGTTAGCATATCTACAGATACACATTTGATGGGGAAGCTTACCGGAATGTAAATCCAACAAACAATCCCTTGCTCATCTTATCATCACGCTCCGCCATCTCTTCCAGCGCGCGTTGCTTGTCGTGAACCTCCTTATACTTGGCCATGTCCGCTTCGTTGGTAAAGTCGTCAAAGTAGCCCGCGTCTGTCTCCGAATCCAGCTCGGGCACAAACGGCGCACGCTGCTCGCGCAGATGGTTAAAGTCCACCTCGCTGAAGTAGTCGTGCGCGTGGATCTCCTGAATGTTCTTGAAGCGCTTCTCCTTCGACGCCACCAGCTTGGTGATGAGGTCCCACGTGCGTCGCGACAGGAAGTAGTTCGGGTCTTCGTACACCGGCTTGCGGAGCACCTTTTGCCAGTTCTTCAGGTTCTGCCACGTCTCGTCCACCGTCGCGCCCGCAAACGGCGGGTATCCGGCGAGGGCCTCGAAAAGCATGCATCCCAAACTCCAGTAGTCGACCGTAAAATCATACTGCTCGCCCTTGAGCACTTCGGGTGCCATGTAGTCGGGCGACCCAACAATCGACTTGGCGTAGTTGACCTGGCGCTCTCGTAGCGACCGATAGCCCTGGCGACGCTCTGCCACCGTACGCTGTTCCATGGGGCGACCGAACGGCACCGGCGTGTTGCCAACCTCCTCCAGCTTCACCCGCATGGACTCAATCTTGCCAGGGTTTAGCATACCCGCCGCCAAGCCAAAGTCGGTCAGCTTGACGTGACCACTTGAGTCAATGAGAAAGTTTTCCGGCTTCAAATCACGGTGAATGTATCCCAACGCATGCAACGCATCAATGCAGCTGAACATCTCTGCAATGTAGAACCGAGCATGGCGATTGTGCAAGACTCCGGTGTTATTCAGCAGCGTGCGAAAGTCACCTCCTGGCACATACTCCATTGCCAAATAGATCTGGTCGTCATCCTGGAACGCGTACAGCAGCTTGACCAACCAGTCGCTCTTGGCGGCCGTCAAGATATCGCGCTCAGTGAGAATATGGCGGATCTCGTCCAACTTAAAAAGTAACTTCTTGCTCATCACCTTGAGCGCGCACACCTCCCTCGTATCCTTCTTCTGCGCCAGATAGACCTGTCCGTAACCTCCCTGGCCCACTTGAGTCAAGATCTGAAAGTCGTGCTGGCGGAGTCGAGTGCGGCGTTTGCGGAGGTGGGCCCGTTCCCGACCCAGATATTTCAGTAGAGCGGGCTCATACGTCTCCATCGGAGTGGCGGGGGGTTCGGGGTTGGAAGACCGGAACTGCGCATAGCGGTTTTGGCGGTTGTGTACGTAGCTCAACAAATCAAAGTAATGATCGAGGAAGTCTAAACAGTTAGCCAATACACCGAAGTACCTGCAAGGTATGGCACCTACAAAGCTGTGTCACATTTACCAATCGCTTAACTCTAGGATTCTGCAGCTTCTCCAACTCCTCCGGGGTCAACCCCCGCATGGGAACCTGACGACGCTGAATGCTCTCGAGATCTCGTTGCTGGTATGGCTCATGACGGGAGATGGCAGCAGCCGCGGGGTTCGGACCGAGGTCTTTGGTGAGACGGGTGGAGTTGGGAGGGGTGTTTTCTTTGTTGGCTTTGCGCGTGGGACTGCCTGGTGGCTGACGGATGACACTTTCGGTAAAGTCCTCGCCGGATCGGGGCGGCGCGAACATGGGGTGGTTGTAGTGGTTATAGGTGCCTTTGGTGGGCGAGGTGGGGTTCAGCTTGAGAGCTTTTTCGAACACGTTGGGCAGGTCGATTGCGCCGGGGGGCATGCGATTTTTGCTGGGACTCCCTTGGGGGGTTTGCACGGGGCTGGTGAAGCCATTTTCAGCGGGTGTGGAGGGGCGATCGAGAGCTTCATTTCCGGCACGAGTATGAAGGAGTGGCGGCGGGTTGGGGAGACGGAGGCCCGGGCGATCTGAGGTGTCGATATTGAGAGCCATGTTGGGCTCGGAAGTGTGCTGGCGACCGTTCTCAACTGAGGGAGGTATGGACCAGCTCACTGACACGGGGGTCTCTAAACAACGACCGCGAGGTGAAAGAGGTCGTGGCGGGGAGATTAAAAAGGAACGAGGGATAGGAAATTAAAGCACGAGTAGAGAGACTCGGAATCCCAAGCGAATGGAAAAAGAAATGGGATGGAAAACAAAACGGAAGATAAAAAAAAAGCAAAGAAGGGGTGGAGAGACAGGAAAAAGCAACGAGGAAGAAGAGGAGACAGAGAAGATCAATGACTTTGTTCGGGCAGGAATGGAGAGAAGCAAGGACGATGACCCGACGAGAACAAGTCAGTCAGTCAGTCAGGGGAGAAAGAGACGATGCCCGATGGTTTTGATTGGGAATGATGAAGAAGAGGGAGGAAGAAAGAGAAGAAGGAGAAAGAGGAAGTTGTTGAATGAAGTAGGGAGGAAGGGGAAAGAGAGGGGGGAAAGAAGTGGAAGTTCAAGAAAGTGAATATTCTCTCTCAACTTTCTTACTGTTCTTTCTTTCTTTCCTTCTTTCTTCCTTCCTTTCTCTCAATTCATCCACTTTTCCCTCTTTCTCCCAGTTACAGTTTAACTTCAGCAAAGCAAAAGATGAGCCGCAGCTGAGAACCAGCCACTCTTGACTTAACAGACCAACGAAATGCCACCGATCCAACTCTGCGCCGCCCCTCTCTCTGCGACCATCGCAACGTTGCTGGGGTAACTCCCTTGTTCCGATCCCATCTGCTCTCCAATGCTGGTGACGATGCCAGGGCCAGCCGCGAGTCAATCTCGTTCCTGACGCCCTTTCGGATGGTGATTGGGGAACTCGTGAGGCTGAGGATGGAGTCATCTTCTCCCACCACCAGTCAGAGTGTCTCTGCACGTCATTTTCCCACTCAACTACCTTTAGACGAGGAGGGGTGAGAAACTAGTGTGTCCAGCAATCTGGGTGAAACTAGTCGTCCTTCTATATCTGGAACCTTGTTGGGTGAGATCGCCTCCGATCCCATGGGGCAGATCTGAGTTGATCATTTACGGAGGGAAGGGAGGAGAATTGGTTGGTGGTGGTGGTGATGCTAAATTTTATCCCCATCTATCGGGTGTATACAGACAGTTCTGACACTGACAGTCACACAACATCAGTGTTTCGGTCCAGACTACAACAATTCCATTCTTTTAAATTAAAGCAATCCAACATTTAAAACAATACTAGTACTAGCAAGTTGATTTAGAGAAGAGGGGTACAATCCACACCGGCGTCATCGCGCCCTGGTTCTTGTTTACACTTCCCGTAAACACAACCAAGGAACCGCTCCCATAAGCAGTGGAACCTTTCTGTCTCCCAAACCATGGTTCATCTCCCAGCCATCAACTAGACTATCTTCCTCCTCCCCCCTTCTCTTCCTCAATAAGACATAGTAATAAATAGCCCGTTTTAACAGCAAGGAATTTAATTCAACACAACCCAGGATATTCAAATTACATCATCACTCAAACAGTCTTGGCCCGTTGTCCCGTCTACCACCATCACTCAGTCAGCAACCAGTAGAAAAAACAAAGCATTGAAAAGAAAAGAAAAGAAATACTCACAAAAAAAGCCAACCCATACGACGGCGTCGTAAAAGTCACCTTACTCCCCTTGGGAAAATGAAACACATCCCCGGGGAAAGCCTCAACCTTTTGACCGGTCTCATCCGAGATCTCGAACTTGCCTTCCAGGATGATTTTCATCTCATCGAAGGTGTATTCGTACACCAGCGGGGTGCCTTTTTCCAGACGGTAGAAGCCGGCTGAGATGGGTTTTTCGGGGTTGTAGCTGTCACTATACATTCCATATTTAGTGTCTAATCGAACATACTCGTACACTCATTACTATGAGATAGCATGGAGGAAAAAGATTAATTAGTAAAAGGAATGGGATGGGGTATACCTCGAATCCACATCCCCCAAAAAGGCATTCTCATTGGCAATGAGCGGAGGCTCATAGGTTTGTTGGGATCGAGGGTGGTGCTTGAATGCGATGGCCATGTTTGGCGTAGGAATTTGTTGTAGTAGTCACGAATAGATAGTAAGTACTCGTATATTGCTCTTCTAGTATTCTGTTTGGTTTGGATACACTGGAGGGATATTGGCATTTTATACCAACACCTCCCCAACATCATCCTCGTTCATCCCTGATCCCATTACCTACAACGGAATACCTATACTCGTGCGGAGAGATCCGATTCATTGTCCTCCTCTTTGCTATTGCTGCTTGTTTGACTCTCTTCCCACGGATCCGACTCCCGTAGTGGGATAGATAGTACGCTTCGACATATAGTAGGCATAGGACAGTACAGTCCCAGTAGGAGTTGGCGAACTGAGGGGTAGTTAGTAAGCGAGTTAACAGAGTAGTGAAACTCGATGAGGGGAATTTGCTCAGTTCCGAAAAAAGGTTATCAGATAGGGAGGAGTGAACCGGGGTGCCCTTGATAGTTACTGATAGAGAGAGAAAGACAGGCATAGTATGTACGGAGTACCACTACTATCGACTATCCCAGGAAAGAATTAGAATGAATAGATAGGATACCACATCCGAAAAGGAACCATGACCTAGTTAGTAAGATCAAGTAAGGCAAGGCATGGACATCCGACACACGGCAGGGGAAGCAAGCAAGTAGACAAGCAAGCAGACAAGCAAGAACAGGATATTTTACCCCAGATGGGTTAGTACTTCCGACCAATCCTCGTGGATTTGATATGATATGATATGATACGATACGATATCAAGGTTACTTAGTAAGTAAGTAGTACCTAGTTAACTAACTAACTACTAGTCAGTCAGTAAGTAGTAGTTATCCCCCCCCTCGCATAGTATCCATCCAATCCCTCCCCTCTTCCCCTCAACTCCATGCTGACGCCGTCTCACCCCAGTCAATCTTATACTACTACTTACTTCCACTTCAACCACGAAATCCAACAACAGCCAGAACAAGCAAAGCAAGCAACTGACCAAACTCGTCATCTTCATCATCCATGACGACTTTGAATCAATTTCCAATAATCCTATATCCTTACTAGTCCAATCCACCTGACCATACCCTCATTTTCTGTAGAGAAAGAAGAAATAGCTCACATGCAGCCAGTGTCTGAGCCCCTCCCCCCTCCACTCCTCTCCCATTTCAGAGAATGATCATCCACCTGCCCAGTTCAGTAAAGCCGAACTTGCAAAGCCTATCCTATCCTATTATCCTATCCTATCCTATCCTAACTATCCATCAGTCAGTCAATCAGTCAGTCAGTCACTTCTTCTCTCCATCTCCCTTCCCCACCCACCCACCTATCCACCGGGGATTCTTCCCCTATCAACAGTGTGTATGTATCTTCAGCACCCACCACCGGACTCTCCTCTCCATACAGTAAGAAAAGAAAAAAAGAAAAAGTAGGTTAGCTCATCCGCAGAATTACTTGCATAATTCCTACTAAAATCACTCCCCATGCAAGGCAAAGCAAGATCCGAAATCAGACCACGACAGGAGAAGAAAAGAGGGAAAAAAAAAAAAAAAAAAAAAAAAAAAAAAAAAAAAAAAAAAAAAAAAACTAACTAACTAACTGACTAACTAAGCAGAGTAAAAAAAACTAACTCAACCTTTCCCTTTTCCTAAGCAAGTAAAAGCAAAAGCTGAACTAA